TATCGTGCTTATTTTCCTAGCTATAGTCACAGCTGAAATAATTAATTCTTAAATTTTTGTCCACATTTAACCCTCTGAAGCTCGTGTAAATAATATTTAAGAATTCAGTCCGTACCGCGAAGAAAACACCACACTTCACCATTACGTAGATCAACAGGTTAACGCTGTTTAAGGAAATAATCGCTGTTTACATTGAGAATCATAGTTCGTCTGATTAATATTAAAGAATTCAGTCCGTACCGCGAAGAAAACACCACACTTCACCATTACGTAGATCAACAGGTTAACGCTGTTTAAGGAAATAATCGCTGTTTACATTGAGAATCATAGTTCGTCTGATTAATATTAAAGAATTCAGTCCGTACCGCGAAGAAAACACAGCTCTTTACCGTTACGAAGATAAACTGGTTAACGCTGTTCAAAAAAAAAATCGCCGTTTAAACTGAGAATCATACAGAACACAAATACAGAAACATAGAATTACTGATTGTTGAAGTGGTTCATATAATTACCACCGGGATTTAAAGGGTTAATTAAATTTCTACTAATATTTATATATAAATTACACGCTAAAAATTCCAATAAAACTTCCAAAAGCGCGAGCTGCTTATTACTGTCTTGCACAAAAGGGCCACACTTCGCTGCATTAATTACGCATCCCCCCCCACTACTCCTTATTCCACCCACCTCGTGTGCCTTGTTTCAATATCGACCCGCGTTGAAGCCGGGGCTGACGGTGGAGTCGGTATAATATTCTCCGAAACCGACTCCTTCATAAAAGCTCAATATCCATTAATTATGGTAAACCTACTAAAATGTTAAATGGCACTTTAAGAGATTTCATCACCACCACTTGAATCATCATCATCCTACTTTTTAGACTTATAATCTATATTTAAATATATTCTAATGTTTATTGCAGAAATCGGTTGATTTGTAGACAGTTTTTAACCTTAAGTTATCGGAGCCAAAGTTACAAAGAATTATTCCCACACCACGTGGCTCAACGCGTCGTTGAATCTCCCCTAAGCGTTAGGCCGCCTGTGGCACACGCGGTATAGAAATTGTTCCTAAGATTTTATATACTTATTTAACAGGTTTTACTTTACCACTGTTATGGCATAATTAATATGACTGTAATAACAAATAATCGATAATAAAACAGTTTATTTTGAGATACAACACAAAGGACAGGAAATGCTCAAAACAGATAATTGTTTTAAAATCAGTATTTAAAACGGTTCAATTAATGTTCAGGTAAAAACAGCTTCAAAGTTATTATCAGGTACCCTGATACAAACCTACCTGCACTTTACGACAACACAATGCAAAAATAACTCGACACAAAACGTCTGTGCCACGGTGGTCTAGCGGTTAGAACGCTGGGCTAGTAATCCTGGGGTCCCGGGTTCGATTCCCGGCGGTGCCCAAATTTATAACTTCTGTTGGGCATTTTTCAAAAAAGGGGGTCACAGGAGAAGCGTTAAATTTCGCGGTCCACGTCGAAAACATGTACTGAAAAGCAGTGAATCCTTCTAACCATCTGTGGTTAGAAGGATTCACTGCTCTGTGGTTAGCAGGATTCACTGCTCTCCAGTACATGGTTTCGACCTGGACCGCGACAGTTAACGCTTCTCCTGTGACTCCCTTTTTTTTTTTGATGCCTGGACCACGGTCTTGCCCAACAGAAGTTATAAATTCGGGCACCGCCGGGAATCGAACCCGAGACCCCAGGATTAGTTCTAACCGCTAGACCACCGTGGCGGAGGCACTCTACGCTGAATGGTGTGTACTGGATACGAAAGGGAGAGCTAAAAATTTGTAACGAAAGCAAAATGAATTATTAATTTCTTCTTATAAAATCCGACCCGATTTCATAACCTAATTCAAGATACAGGTTATCCTACTTGTATCAAATAATTTGACTAATTTAACATTAATTTGTAAAATATTCATATTTTCGTCTGCATCCGAGTTTATTACTAAATTATCCTAACCGTCCTGTGGTCTAATGGGGATATTTCCGAATTTCATGAAGTCTGCCTACAGCCAGCAAACCAATAAAAGTCATTAAAGTTTTTTTTTTCAAATATGAAAAATTACTTCTATTACGACCATTTCGTTACATCAGTCAGTTGTGTTTGAGTAAAAATTTATCGTAATATACAGCGCCAATTTCATATAGGATTATTATCGTCTACTAACAAAATTATGGATTCGATGTTCAACAAGCGAAGTGACCACGTATAAATGAAATTGGACTAATTGGACTGCTCTGTTCAAATTAGGAGCAGATTTCTACGTATGCTGGGTTTAATTTCCGTTTTCCAGAATAGTAATTTGAGACACAGCGAAACCAACAACAGAATTGAGCATTAAACCACGATCTGGTACTAATGGACACTAACAGATGTCAGCTCCGTCTCCCACCTTCCCCAAGGTCTTTCGAATATTGCAATCAACGCAGAACGTATTTTAAGTAACAAAAAAGCATCTCTGCCTACTACCTATTTCTTTTCCGTAGAATTTATTCTTTACGGGAACAAAATTTATTAATTTACAAAAGAAAAATTCACATACCAGACAATTCGTAGAAATTTGGGTAAAAATATAACAGGCTTACGTATACACAACAACATTTCCATGGGGCCTGAATCTGATGATTTAAAACATTTCGGTTCAACAAATTATACTAAGTCACGGAAACATATAATTCATTTTAGTTCCGAATGATCGCCCTAGAAATGTATCATAAAATAAAGCACGTTTCATGACACGTGGTTCGAATGTCATCAAATTATTTTCATCGTGCAATTAATGGACGGACAAGACTTTATTTTTCGATGTGTATAATTTACAGAAAATTATTAAATTTCTATGCACAAGCCTCTCAGAAAAATCGCGTCCTAAAAAAACGCCTGACTTAAAAAAAAAATTCGCATTCATCGGAGTACAAGCTCTGGTATGAGGAAGAAATATGATTCCCGGCACACGCAAAAGCGGATGATTAAATCAGTGAAGGTATAATTATTTCTTTCCGGTAACCATGCTGATACAAAGCACGTTATTAAATTTGATTAACCCAATTTAATAAAACAAAGGTAGAAAAACGGCTTATATACAGGGTGTCCCACTTAACGTGGAACTCACCACGGCCGCAATAACATCGGGCGAAGTATACATTGAAATGAGTTGGCCACAGCGCGGACCAGAGCCGTCGCGTGGTAGCAGGTGGGTTTCGAGTTACGTGGGACACTCTGTACATTCTGCTTCGTTCAAATTGTATCTTACTAAGAGAATATTTAAATGAGATCTTAACTATGATCATTGCGCAGGAAAAACTTTTCCTTTCTCCAATACGATCTGAATTGAACGGAAATAAAATAAATAAATACCTGGGTATATACGTGAATATTCCACTAACAACCTCAGAATTTAAATACACTTACAGAAAGAGGTAACATAAATATTTTTCAAAACTTAGTAAGAATCATTAAAACAAAATGTCTCCTAATTGCACACCCGAAAACTTTTGCATGTATGTTGAATTCTATCGACACTTAAAACAGATTGGTTGTTGCTAAAAGTTAATTTATTCAAACTGCAACCCACACGTCAAAAGCATAACCGCTCGTAATTATTTTTTTTTGTAAGCTATGTTTTGTTATAATGAGAGCCAACATGTCCTTCCACTCACTGCGACACAACATTACAACGCGGTCGGTCGACGCGACTGTCAATGACAGCAAAATCTTCTCTCACACGGTGTTCCAAAACAATATTCTCCCATTTGACCTTCTAATTGCGAAAAACCATAAAGATGGCCGACATTACATGGGGTAAGATGAGTGCATCGGGTATTGGTTTGTACGCCTGAGGGGAAGAGACAGCTGGGGAGAACTAGACGTAGGTGGGGGGAGCCTGAGGGGAAGAGACCTCTGGGGAGACCTAGACGTAGATGGGAGGATAATCTCAGATGGGATCTATGGGAGATAGGAGTCGAAGGAGACTGGATTTTGTTGGCCCAGGACAGGGCTTTGGTTAATTCGGTGATGAACCTTCGGGTTCAGTAAGCCATCTAGTTAGTTATTAACATATTCTGGAATATTAGAAATTTCATGTATTTAATCTAACAATTATACTCTTTTTTATAACTAAACGTATCTAATAAATGAAGATTTGTTTGAAAGACGAATTATTCACACCACAAATTATAAAAATTGTACCTTTCATTATCTATGATGACCATAAATTATTTTGCTCAAATCAGCTAAAGAAATACCAGACAGAAAAAATATTAGGCAAGCAGACCAAAACTTATTGGCGTTTCAGAAGTTATCCCCCCAGAAACTAATTCTCACTCAAAAACCCGTGTATTTAAAAGTACATATTTCCACACAATAGTTTATGGCGCCAGTATCACTACTAAAATTCTACAAAATTTGGGAGTGATAAATGCAGTAACATGGGAAAAAAATATATATATATATATATAGACACGTGGACTGAAAGCACTTTTGCTGAGTCAACATCAAACTCTTTGAAAGTAAAAGCCTAATTTTAGTTAAGAAACTTTCTGTCTTGGCTACATTTCCACAAACCCCATCACAGGAAACAAAATGAGCAAACAAATATTCAAGCAATATCTTTTCTTTCAGGGGAAATAACTTTTTAATACATAAATTAAAGCTTCAATGTGACTATCATGCATTCTTAACCCTTTAACGCCAAGTGGTGTATATATATATATATATATATACCACTTGCTTTTTAACTTTCAATAAATCTGCATTTTTCTCACAGAAATTATTTACGTGCTTCATGTAAACAACAATTATTTCCTTAAACAACATTACTTAATTGATATTTGTTAAGTGTTATGTTTACTTGGCGATAGGGACAGAAAATGTATAAATTATTTTGACAAGTTTCGGCTTCAAAGGGTCAAGATTCGCTGCTGTAAAAGAACTATCACATTGTAATTAAAAGAGTGTACTCACATTGTTCCTGGGAAGATGGTCCTTTGTCTTGTTCGCCACTGTTAAATCTCACAATATTTCTTAAGTGCACTGGAGCCGTATTTGCCGCGCTTTTGTCACAAATAACAATCGAGCAAACACTTCCGGAACTATTTCAGTAGCGACAACCTTCTCTGAAAGTCACTAGATTAATTTCATGTTTCACCACTACCAACACGAGACAATCAACTTACGTGATATATATACACACACCATAGCAGGATTTTATGATATGAACGAGACGAATTCGTACTTCCAATCTGTAATTTATAACGATGCATTTTGTGATCTAGTGTACAGACGAAAGGGAAACGTCTAGCAACTTCTCATATCATTATCATTATCATCACTCCAGGTCTCAAAATTCAACTTAGCAGTTAACCTTCAAATATTTCATTTTTGTTCTTCAGCGTTAGATGACATATTTCACAACACAGAGGGGTGAAAGTATTTTACGAAGAAGTAATGTTCCATTTCGAGATTTAAAACATGACCCATTAAACTAAATCACCAGTCAAATGATATTCACGACCCATCTAAGTGTCGTTGCGGACTCGTTTTAACCGCATAAATACAGCAAACATATTAACAAAAAATGTTATAATACTAAAAACGAAACTTTAGATATTAGCGTTAACAAAACCAACACGAAAGATCGATTTATATCGCCATCATTACACAGCACGTTTGCCCCACATCAAAACACAGTTCACGTGAACTACTTGTTAAGCACATAGCAGCATAATATTAACCTCTGGACGAAAACAAATAAGAAACACTGATAACTTCTACGACGAAAATAATCCACAAACATTACTCCATTATCCCTCCATCATTCGTCACGTACTGCCATGAACACCTGTTTCGATAAAGAAGCGTCTCGAACTAATGTGCAACCTTGAACTTCTTTTGTTTCTTTCAAAGATCATTGGTCTCACTGCCATCTATGAAAGATTTTCAGTGTCACAGAACATTACGTATTGGGGTATGATTTTTAGTTCACCTTGAAAGCGACTATATATTACGTGGCTTCCATAAATGTTCAATTAATCTGAATGAATCACATAAAAACGTCAACACCCTCGCAGATTTAAGGAAGTTACGATTCATATTAATAATATACCAAGTACAAAACTTTTCATTCAATTGATTATATAACAATGCATCGATAACTGTTGAAAACAACGTCAAATGAGTTGGTATGATAATTCAAACTTAAAAATAGGAACAATGGAGTTATATTCTACATTATGACATTGGGTAACGTTTGAAAGTGTCTTCTGGTTGTCTGCTTTAAAAGTTATTGGAATGGATTTTGTGATATCAGGTCACATTCTCGTATCTGTGTAAATCCATTTGCAATAAAGGTGATTAGAAACGGTGTACACAGCTAAAATCATCCAATAGCGTATAACAAACGAGAATCCGTGCGTGTGTAATACAGCATACGTGACGCTTTAACATTTGCGGGAGCGTTACAGAAATCCCACAGCTGCTGCCAAAGCTTATGGAAACTGCATATAATATCCTTTATTAAGGCGATTAAATATTAATTCATTGATTTAATAGAAATCGATATTACTTCCATGCGTCATATCGGTGAGGGCTGGATGAGTAATTAACGACACTGTATCAGCTACTTAGCATATTTTTTTTTATGGAATTATGGATTTTAACGACCAAAGCTTATGTTATAACATAATTTGAATATATTCGTGGAAGTCAAGAAAACGTGAACACGCGATGTCGAAATTCTACTTAAAGACTTAAATAGATGACTGACTAAAGGGAGTAGAGTCTTCCATCTTCAGGGCGATCGCAGTTGAAACGTTCTACTAGACTATTCGAAGGTCACGCTGTAATTTATGTCTGTCATAACAGCTGTCAGGCGTCCTATGATGTAAATGCGGACCACAAAGAGCGATTTCTCGATTTTACAAGCCACACCTTCTCTGACACAAGTCACTTCACTGCCGCTGCTGATGGTGGAGACACAAAGACTGCAATATTTTTTCAAGTGCTTGGATGATTTAACCTCGTCCGTGAACAAATTGTAACTCGAAATCTACAAGAACAAACATCTTACGTATCTATATTGTATAATTTCGTTTCTCTAATTCACAAAAAAATATTCTTTACCTAACGTAATCTAGTATAAAAAATAAATATCTCATATACCTGATATTTTCCAAAGATATTAAATAATGACAAATATAAGATATTTCATTAACTTTTGTCGTACAATGAGCAGACACTGTCAGTGGTCCGCGGATTTAAAACGTAAAGGAAGCCCACTAAGTGCAAGGCCAACGAGAAAATAGTCCCTAAAGCCAGCAAAATCGAAGCTACTAGCAGGTGGAAAGCTACAATGAAGTCTGGTCAGCTACTGTACACATTTTTCCCAGTGAACTACACGCGACACTCACAATAACAAACTTGTCCTGTCTCTGAGATAAACTCCTTTCACCGACCGTCTCTTTGCCCGGAAGTGACAGGTTGAGCGCGGAGTAATACATTATCACAGCAGCTATTCGTTTCTAATGAAACCTTGAGAGGTTTCAATTGGGTGCAATTTTATATGCCATATGAACTCGAAACTGCTTTCACTTACGTTCGACTGGCGAACACCAGTTTGGGCGAAGCTCTGTTGCTGTGTTGGTGAATTCCGTGTGTTACGTGTTATCGAAATAAATTTTTCGTACGTGCCAACAAGGAATCGAAAATCCGTACTCGAGAGACAGATTAGCGTAAGTCAAATTTGTAGTTAATCCTTTAACTTTTGAACCCACATTAGTCTAAATAACATTTACGTATCCAGCCCGTACCGCAAAGAAAACACAACTATTCTCCATTGCAAAGATAAACATAATCCCTGAAATACAAAATAAAATGTTACTGATAATCGTTGGAATTGAAAGGATCGATACGTTCGCGACGCTTAGTACAGTTCTCTAAAAAATACACGCAACTACATGTTTCATCTTAAATCGCAAATTAATATTGCGTTAGTCAACCTGGAAAGGTCATTTCATTGCAGAAAATTATATTAATTTTTTTAAAAAAATACTAATACTAAATAATACGGTATTAACCCTAGGTGCAATTTCGTGTTCGGTCCACATACAACACTTCCGAGGCGACGACTAAAAAATGAATTAATTAACTCCTTAATAAATTATCCTAGACGGCGTCACTTTTTCATGAAATGCAAGAAATGGTTTAACATGTATTTGGACTTCATACTGATATAATAATTAAACAATATAAAAACTTGCAGTGCTTGTAAGCTACATTAAAGAATGATACGTCTTCAGAATATTGAAACTCTAAAAGACAATTTTTGCACAAGTATTTTTCTGTGTTCTGTACATATATAAGCAATATATTTGCTCGGTAAATAACGCACAGATAATTATACTCTAACCTAACATTTATCCTTACAAATGTATTTGTATTTTTCCCCCGGATTTTCCATATTACGTCAATTCTCTTTCGAGATATGACTAAATCAGATTTACCTTTCGTCAATTTACACAACTATTACAGTCCTGATAGAGGCTTGGTATTTTTCTAAAACCTAAATTGTCCTATTCTCATTGCAAATTACCTTCTAAAAATTGTGTAATATATGACTCAAAGACTTTATATCCAATATAAAAGAATTATACGTCACAATTTCTGTCTGTACGAGAGAATTATGTACTAATTACTGTACTAATTAACCTTATGAAACCGAATCTCGTTTAAATAATATATAAGAATTCAGTCCGGACCGCGAAGAAAACACCACACTTCACCATTAAAAAGATCAACTTGTTTACTGATAGTTAAATCACGTGATACATATGGTACGACTGAACTTCGAAAATATTTATTAATTCAATAGTCGCTTGCGTAATTTTAGTATGGATTTCCGCGAATCTGTCTCTCGTGTGCAGAAATATGGCTTCCCCCTTGAAAAAAACGCATCTTGGTGGCTTATAGACTGAGTTATCACTTCATGGGGATTAATATAATGGCCGCTGCTGATGGAAACTGCATTGAAAGTCGACCCATCAGTCCCTATCCAACACTTCGCTCTGTCTCGTAACTTTTTCATCGCTTGGCAGCATCGAAACGCATCTCGTCAGGCCCTGTGGGGCAAAGCTCCTTCGGACCCACGGACAGTTCTCGCCCCACCATCACAGTTCGACGCCCTACGAAGCAAGATACATCACCTCAAATCCGAAATTGTAAGTTTGCGTCTATAAACAGTTTGCTTTTAACAATGAGGACAATCTTGTGTTTTTAATTATAAACCAAGTTCGGTTATTTTATACAGACGTTGGAAAATATATATAAAAAAATGAGCTTGTTTTAAAAATGGTGTTCAAGCTGATTGTGTTTTGTTTCCAACAATGTATGATTTTAAAACATCACAAAAGTTACAACAATCAGACTTGAAGCAGAAATATAATAATGTTTACGGAAACAAGGAATTGCAGATTTGAAAAAGACATGTTTTCATTTTCACTGAAGGCGATTGAAGAAACACGACGTGATTTCGTGTATTTATCACTGACCCAATCGAAACGCACTGAATTGCAAACATCTGAATCACTTCGTACGTACGACAGATATTAAGATAATACTTCCAAGAAGTCTTTCACGTGTCGCTACAACAATGAGAATGCTAAAAGGAGAACGTGTATCTCCTTGTAGATCTAGACAGCCTTGACTTCGTAACCGCAAAACGTGGATTATCTCTCTTCAACACTCACCAGCTAAAGGCCTTCTTCTGTACTTGTAATACACCAAAGTTTAACATTTTCCAACTTCTATTCTTAAATGTCTTGATTCTATGCAATTTTCTTAACTTTAAGTAATGAGCTTTAGATTGTTTGAATATCTCGCGATGCCACGAAGTCTGTACCTCATCCAAACGAGGTCACTCGGTGGACGCCTTGTCCCAGACAGGTTCGCCTGTCTCTCGGCGACATTCAAGTAACCCAAAGTCGGATATTAATTACCACTTTCATTTCTACACGTACTTAACAAAAACTTTAAACTCAAATAGATAAAACTTGTACCTGAACAAGAATTGGTTCGAATCCATGTCAGCGAGGAACTTGGAATTCTTTGTTCTTACGAAGGAATCCGCTATTTGGGCCTAAGAGGGAAGACGATGGGGCGTGGAGAAAACTGCATAATGACGAGCTTAAAAATCTGTACTCCTCCCCCAATATTGTGAGGGTGATTAAGTCGAGAAGAATGAGATGGGCTGGGCATGTAGCGCGTATGGATGGGACAAGAGGTGTGCACCGGGTACTGGTTGGTACGCCTGAGGGGAAAAGACCTCTGGGGAGACCTAGACGTAGATGGGAGGATAATCTCAGGCGGGATCTATGGGAGATAGGAGTTGAAGGAGACTGGATTTTGTTGGCCCAGGACAGGGTCAGGTGGAGGGCTTTGGTTAATTCGGTGATGAACCTTCGGGTTCCGTAAGCCATCTGGTTAATTATAATTCTCTTTTTATTTTTATGAATTCATACAGAAATTCAATTCGCGTATTCCAATGTTTGCAGGTCAGTCTGATCGCTCAAGACATGGAACTTTTTGAACAACTATTCGCTCTGCAGGAGGAAATACTGGAACTCAGAGAACAGCTTGAGTGCTGTCCAAGTTCCGATGAGTCATCGTCACCTTACGACTCGCCGTGTTCAACTCTGTCCAGCCTCAGCTCAAGTGAAAATGGCCGTAAGTGCCCCAAGGTCAGTCGTGGGTATCGTAATCCAAAACATAATTTAGTTAAAGAAATATCTTAATTTGTAATTACGAAGGATACAGCATTTCAGTTCATAAGCATATTACCAGAAAAGTTGTCCGTCACGGTCGATGGAGAAACGGGCAGTGTATAAGGTAAAAGATGACGTTAAAAGCCAAGAAACAAAACAGGTCATGATAATTTTTTAATTATAAAAATTTAATACTACTATATATATTTATTTTTTCCAGCATTCTCGAAGTTTCGTGAGACATCAAGTCTCATACCCACCGATAAGACTTAATCGTTCGCAGAGAATAAAAGCTAGCAGTCCCCAGCATGGTTATCAGGATTCATACGACTCGGGAATTCACACTTCAGACCACGAGATATTTGTGTAGTACGTAAGAATATACGAGAACAGCTCACATATTGTGTTTATTATTCAGTTCAAAATAAATAAATAAATAAATAAATAAATAAATGAACGGCAAATTGTAAAAGATGTTTCTATGTGCGCGTAAACATTATAAATATTATGGTATGACTGAGGGTTAAATCTGTATCTGCAGAAATGTCTCCTTTATAGGAGATTGGCGACACATCCTTCCATCCATTTCTCGTACTGGGACCTGTTCATATACGTTCTTGGCAGATGATCCAGAAGTGGTTTGCCATTGCCTTCTTCTGTGTGTGAATGGAGTAATTGTTGGGATGCCACGGAGAAACCGGGTAAGCCCCCGGAGGAAAACTCCGTGTTACCTAGACCACGGCCTTGCCCAACACAAGTTAAAAATTCGGGCACTGCCGGGAATCGAACCCGAGACCCCCAGGATTACAAGGCCAGCGTTCTAACCGCTAGACCACCACGGTTGAACTCTCTATTACATAACAAAAATAATACTGACGATGATTTAAGAGGCGATAAAGTCTACCGCGTTCTTAAATAATAAATTAGATCAAAGAGACACCAAAAATTAAAATAATATTTATTGGCTGTAGCTAAGAACAGTTTCATACTGGATGTAAAGCGTGAAATATAATCACGCATAAATCTGACCTCGTTACCCCGTCGGTTTCTGGTGCACTGCATTATTTGGGCGATGAAAGACGGCAAATCGTATAATCCGGGCGACTAAAATCTTAGGAATATAAAATACGATTTCTCCCCTACTACTAAATAAAATCTCTGTTAATGTTTTGCTAGGACTCAGCTGTACCACACGTACTAAATAACTTCGACGACACATTGTTCGTGGTTTATCTTTGTAAGTGACAGAACTGGTAGTTCCAGGACTTGACCGGATATCCAAATCCATGCAACACGCGCGCTGCAGTGAGAGAAAGTTGTATTAAATTGCCAAGTTGACGTCTGCATGACACCATACATAACCTAACATAACCTAAGGTGACGGCTATTTCGCGTAAACAGTGCAGTCTCTAGAAATTATGGAGATTAACCTTGTTGTTTTTATTGTTAAGTTTCTTGTTTTAATTTATTATGGATATATCATATAAGTATGATTTGAAAAAAAATCGAATTAGTGATTACGTTAAAACTCGTAAAATTGACCTTTTTTTGTCTTAAAATCCATAGCTTAAATTTATATAATAACGAGTCAGATTCTCCTCTTAACAGACGTAATTACGTTAAATTTTTGAAATTACTAAAAGGTTATGACACCGTCCTGAATAACAATTGCCGGAGCTAAGAACGCCTCGAATCTCGGTACCATCATATCCAACTTGCCGCCTATATAAGGGTCCCAAAATGTTGAATAATTTTATATATCTGAAGCAGCTCATCCACAAAAATCGAAATTGTATATAATATACTTTGTTACCGTGCGTCTTTCCACGAGTTACGTTCTGCAAGACGTACTAAGTCGTTCAGACGCCTTAAATAGACAAGAGGTTTAAATTTCCATCGCGTCTCGTTCGTTCAGAACGAAACAAATTTAGTACTGGGGGGGGGGGGGGGGGGGTCCTCACAAGGAACATAATATTACGTCTATTTATGTTTCCTACTTATTGTATAACACAAGTCATTACCAATTAAAATAATCACAATGTTGTGGTAAATATATTAACAATAAACTCTTTAACTGGCAAAACTTATCACATTAGTTTTTATTCTGCATTTTTCTCAGTTGCTCCTTCAGAAGTCCACCAAAATGGGAATTAATGTCTTCGTCATCCGAACCTGGTAAAAATAAGTCTATTAACACACGTTCTTTAATGCTATTTCGTAGCTGAATAATTAACTTTTTTTAAAAAAAGGGTAAAATATTGTCCGACTACAAACGTGACAGAGAACTAAAAAAAGTTTGAGGCAGAAACCTTAAAATGCTGTATAAATGAATACTTTTTAGATATTAAATGGGATTTTATTAACTATTGATGGTATTTAATAGCAAAATAAATTAGTCTTACCATCAGATGTATTACCTTCGGAACCCAGACCTGAATTTGCTGACGACGTATATTTATTATTTCCTCGATCAATTCCCTGAAGAGCTGGTCTCTGACGCCCATAAGCAGGAGCCCTCTCTGATTGCCTCTTAGAATCATCGTCTAACCCCGTATCCTCAGCTTTTTCACGAGCTCGAGCCAAAATGGCTCTCAGTTCTGACGATCGCGCAGTTTTGTACTAAATCGCAAAATAAATAACACATTTTTTTTAAAAAAAAAACTCACTGGTTATAACTTCAATAAATTTCAAAATACAATAGGTAAACAACATTCTTTAATTACTAAAACAAATTCAGTCCCATTCATCAAAAACTCAATTTGCCGAAGCCGTAACTCACCCCTGAAACATTTCTCTGTACTGTAAGCTGCGAGTCGAGGCGTCGACCCTCGTCTTTGCCGCAGTGTTTCTCCAATTGGGATTTTGTCAGAGATAAAAGCTCATTTCCCGTCATGCCATGCAGCTGTTTGCGAAGCCTAAAATCGGACAAACTTCCTTAATAACACGCCACAATCGTACGGCGTCAAGAAATAACGATAACGACAAAATTATCAAACACAGGATACAACAAATGCATACAAAATTTTGATCAGAAAATCACTTTAAAGACCTAGACATAAACGGTAGAATTAAAAAAAAATATACGAGGTTGTGGAACAAATTCTGATTGTGGCTCAGGACAGGGACCAGTGCTGTTGTGAACATGGTGATGAACCTTTGGGTCCATAAACGACAGGTGACCATAAAAAACTTCCAACTTGCCTTTCACTGAAGCCTTTCGCATGAAGCCAGTTCTGTACTTCAGCTGGATCAGAGGTCTGAGTGATAAATACCTCTGGAGTTTTTACGATATCCAGATTGTGTTTCTTGTCCCGAAACAATGTCAAAACTGTCTTCAGTTCTTCGTGCAGGTCCTGGCTACTATGAGCTAAAATAAAGCACAGAGAATTACGCTGATAACCTCGTGTGCTGTTATATTGCTTCTGTTGGAAAGAAGTGAGGTTATGTCTGCTGAACTGTGGTTGCTAACGGACCTATTGCTCAAGCCCTAGATGATACAAGTGAAAATGAAAGTAATCTAATGGAAAAACCAAAAACGTCGGAGAAAAAACTGTCCCAGTGACTTTTCCCACCACAAAGTCCACATGGACTGTCCTGGGTGCTAATCCGGGGCTCTAGTCAGAAGTCACGGAGTCTGAACTATGGCGCACATTTTTATACGCGGAAGACACGAGATAAAGTCGCAAATTCTAAATAATTGTTGAATAAAGGATTAAAAACAAACTTCTTTCATAAAATATACTTACTGAAACCTCAAAATATTCCCCCCTGCATAATTGCCAGCGACCAAAGAGAGATTACAATCTTGATCATCTACCGAGTCCATCTCTTAAAATATTTCAAATTATAACACAGACAATATAATGAATACAAAAATGCAAACCGTAGTCAAAATGTGTAAGGTATGCTTACCTCTGGAAAGGAGAGTCCCACTGCGTGATCGCGGATTTACAGGAGTACTGTCCGCAGGTGGAGGTGGAGGGGGCGGAGGAGAGACTGAATCTGCATCATTCCTACGCATCCGTGGAGTTGGAAGTCCATCTTCATCTGAACTTAAGTCGGAATCTTGACGATACTTTTCTGTAAGTCACCATAAGTAAGGCACCGCACAGGCGACTACAGAAAACTGGACGAGACAGGGATATCGCAAAAGACACAAGGACACCACAAAGCTTTGCAAGGAATGACACGATACAAAAGCCAACACACATTTAACACATACCAATTTATTTACTGGTACACGAATACATAGGTTAAGTTACATAAAACTATTAAAAATATACATTCACCATTAATAGTTAAGTTTCGTAATACTTTGTGTTAAAAATTAATCCTGACTATACAAGATATGAACAGTAACAGATCTTTGGAATATTAAACATGAAATAATGATTTGAATACATACGATACTCACAACTAAAAAAAAAATATATAGTACACGCTACAACGCATATGTCGGAAAAGTGAACTCTGCTTATACATGAAACCTAACCTCACTTCTTAGCGATTCCAGAATTAGAAAAAAAGGACTTTTGCAATCAACGTTATTAAGAATTTATATGCTTCGTGCCGCTGCGAGATTTTCATCTTATGATACCGGCATCGAGCTCGAAACCAATACGGTTACACCATTATTTAAAAATCTTCGAAACATTCCTTACGATTCTCATATCCACGAACCAAACACATATTAATAACTGTCATTAAAATTTGAAATATTTCATAAAAGTTGCTTCGTTTGAAAGGTTAGAAACCAGAGAACGTCTCAATACGAGAAGCACTACATTATTAATATAAAATTTGATCTGTAAGAAAAAAAAATACCTTTATCCCATACCCGTTCAAAGTAATCTTAATAGAATAACTTTCTCACCAATTACAAATCGCTGCCTCTTCATCATGTTGCACCTCTGAGCCACTCACACTACGACGTAATCTTAATATCAGCTAAGGACTGCAAGGAATTCTAAAAGGACGGTGCAAATATTTTTCCCGAAACAAGTATTAAAAAAAAAAAAATGTTGAAAAAATTACACATATTCTCGACCATCACACAAGCACACAAAAACCATTTCAAAATGAACAAAGAAAACGTGGAAGAGAACAAGCCTTGACTTATAAAATTTACGTTCGTTCCTTTCTGCACCTCCTCTCTTCGAGTCGGTGCTCGACAAAATTTTCTTTTGCGACGCGACCACGTCAGACACGATGAGACAGACTCTTCACAAAAGAAAAGACAGAGTACGGGGGGGAACGAAGCTGTTAATTAATTAGCTTCTTCCCTCTTTGAATAATACAAAAAATTACGTGTTAATTCATTAATATAATAATATAACATTAACATGTTAAATATGTTTATATATTTAATACTTTTGGCTCTTCTACACGACAAAAATTAACTTCAGCAATTAATAAATTCTTTCTTATATGATTTGAGGTCTTCGCGGGGGTGAGTCTGAAGATGTCTGTCTTCTGGGTTTAAGCGCCGTGTAGTCTAGTATAAGTTTACCGACGTTTCAGAGGTCTTTGCTGCCTCCATCATCAGGGCCATCACCCAAAAAACAGCCATCTTCAATAATTCATATGATGTCCGATCAATTAAAACACTGAAAATTACATGTTAAATAAAATACGAGCCTCAACATTAACATGAGTCCTGTTAAAAAGACCAGAGCTATAATTTTTTACATGAATGATCAACACAGATCATCCACCAATGAGATTTAACAACAGACATAAATCTGGCACGACACGCGCATCATACACAATCAGTCGACACAAGGGGAATTTGTAGCGCCGCAGTGTCAACACGGGAATAAACACAGCTACTAATCCTCAATCACTCTCCGAGTCTTGCCATTAATTCAACGTGGCTAATTTCACTACATATGTAAGCGGGCAATATATGCGCGCTAAACACACGAAGAAAATGTTTTCCGGATACGCAGCATTATATGAAGAACAACCTTACTGATTAAATCTGCATGAAATTCAAAGGACATGTTCTTAATTTAATGCAAAGATGTTTTTCTGGAATTACAATTACTCCGATGAAACTTTCACCATGAACGCACACAACAGCGAATGTTTCCCCCTTCTTAACCATTTAAAAGCTATTCGACTTATCAGATCACGTCATAATTCCAAGAAGATAACGCACATAAACCCACTATTCCATGTTTCAGCAACAACGACCGACTGCCTTTTCGTACCTCAAGGATATTAAAATAACGGAGACGAAGCACGTATAAGTTGGCCAGACTTCGTAACGTCACACGGATAAATGGAACAAGATAAACAAACCTTTTTCGTTTACTCCCATGTCTCATTATGGATCCTACATTTTGTATGATCACTCATATCAATGAAGGAAGGGTACGAGGAAGACCTCGTCAAACATTCCGACGGAAGCCTGGAGAGGCTGGAAACACTACAAAAAAACCTCTAATAGGTCAACTGATCCTGGTATAAACCCCGAACTTCCCGCCCACACCCCTCCTTCCCACGACGATCCACATTTTACATGCCGACATGTACGAACACGGTAATCGACAAATAACAAAAACGTATACCATAAAGCAGACCGATATTCAGATATCAACGGTGCCTTTAAATGTATATAAAATTAAAAGAGGACAGTAACGTAAAGAGCAATTATAAAATTACAGCTCATCCTAAGGGACTTACTGAATTAAGTGCTCTTTTCCAGCCATTACCAACCTTTCATTACACGGAATCAAATTTACCTTCAAAGTAAAGTAATGAATAAAACTAAGACTACACAGAATATCTCTACCAGCAATAACAACTTACGACGCAAACTCTCATAAATTGTGGGTTGAGCAAGTGTTCCGAACCTCCGTCTATTAAAGTGATTACCTCACCGTAATTTACCATCTTCCGATTTCGAAACAGCGAAATATAAACACATAAAGGACTAAGACGTTATTCCATTACAAAACTTTCAGTGCTTCTGAAAAGGCTTTATACTTTCTATAAAATGAGCTGTTATAAAAAATTACCAGAATGAACTGGTACATTAAAACGACCTACAGTGCAATGCACAAGCCACTTAACGCTCGCAAAGCGATCGAAATATCCTCACAACATTGTAACATGAAAATTTAAAATGGAAGACAACTTTGATATAAAAGACGACTACACCTCCACTACTTTTACTTCACTGGTGTGTGCAAAATCTGGAGTTTCCAAACCAAATGAAAATACAACCTTTACTACGTTCGTCCGTGGCAAAACCTGAAAACTGAAACTGGCCATAAACCTTAAAACGCTAGTTGATTATGTTTTGTGTAACTGAAGCGACACACTATGAATTTTAATTACAATTCCCGTACACCTCCGTCGCATAGGAATCCGCCTTACCAGTAGCAGAATAACGCGAAGAATGAGAAGTAGCAAACGGTCAGAATAAATCAGAATTGAAACATTTTTAAACAAAAGCTTACAATCGGCAATTTTAATCAATGTAAAGGTTTGGCTAGTCTGAATTACGAACAATGGTAATCAGCGGAGACATCTTACGCTACTCACAAACATTCTGCGTTTTGTCCCATTAGATATCGGACGCTGAGCCTGTATCCGTAAGTGTAGCGCGTTATTATTGTTTAAAGTTAAAGTAAAACATCGTTCATACTTTGTAATTAAAATTCATCTTAGTCACTGCTGTTATCAGAAAGACAGCCATATATATATATATAGAAAGTCCGCTTTGCAAACGACCCTATGGCTGCATGAGTGACGATCCACATTTTACATGCCGACATGTACGAACACGGTAATCGACAAATAACAAAAACGTATACCATAAAGCAGACCGATATTCAGATATCAACGGTGCCTTTAAATGTATATAAAATTAAAAGAGGACAGTAACGTAAAGAGCAATTATAAAATTACAGCTCATCCTAAGGGACTTACTGAATTAAGTGCTCTTTTCCAGCCATTACCAACCTTTCATTACACGGAATCAAATTTACCTTCAAAGTAAAGTAATGAATAAAACTAAGACTACACAGAATATCTCTACCAGCAATAACAACTTACGACGCAAACTCTCATAAATTGTGGGTTGAGCAAGTGTTCCGAACCTCCGTCTATTAAAGTGATTACCTCACCGTAATTTACCATCTTCCGATTTCGAAACAGCGAAATATAAACACATAAAGGACTAAGACGTTATTCCATTACAAAACTTTCAGTGCTTCTGAAAAGGCTTTATACTTTCTATAAAATGAGCTGTTATAAAAAATTACCAGAATGAACTGGTACATTAAAACGACCTACAGTGCAATGCACAAGCCACTTAACGCTCGCAAAGCGATCGAAATATCCTCACAACATTGTAACATGAAAATTTAAAATGGAAGACAACTTTGATATAAAAGACGACTACACCTCCACTACTTTTACTTCACTGGTGTGTGCAAAATCTGGAGTTTCCAAACCAAATGAAAATACAACCTTTACTACGTTCGTCCGTGGCAAAACCTGAAAACTGAAACTGGCCATAAACCTTAAAACGCTAGTTGATTATGTTTTGTGTAACTGAAGCGACACACTATGAATTTTAATTACAATTCCCGTACACCTCCGTCGCATAGGAATCCGCCTTACCAGTAGCAGAATAACGCGAAGAATGAGAAGTAGCAAACGGTCAGAATAAATCAGAATTGAAACATTTTTAAACAAAAGCTTACAATCGGCAATTTTAATCAATGTAAAGGTTTGGCTAGTCTGAATTACGAACAATGGTAATCAGCGGAGACATCTTACGCTACTCACAAACATTCTGCGTTTTGTCCCATTAGATATCGGACGCTGAGCCTGTATCCGTAAGTGTAGCGCGTTATTATTGTTTAAAGTTAAAGTAAAACATCGTTCATACTTTGTAATTAAAATTCATCTTAGTCACTGCTGTTATCAGAAAGACAGCCATATATATATATATAGAAAGTCCGCTTTGCAAACGACCCTATGGCTGCATGAGTATTAATAGTGAATATCAATAATATTCGCTGAAACAAATAATATTTTTAATTTGGTTGGAAAATGAAATTGTTGCGCGCGCGTAGGCACGTAAGCGGAGATATCATCGGACGACGGACTCCATAAATGTGCGAGTCACAGACACACAAAGTGCAACTAGAAGTATCGGAATTCACCTTTCTTGCCAAGCCTTTCCTTTCTCACCCAGTCTGCAGGTGCGGGCGGCGGTATCGGCGGCGATCGGGCGGGACGAGACATTTCTGTGGCATCCCGTGATGGATCCTAAAAAATAACACATCTTTGCTGTTCTGGTCCAAATCTATATAGCAGAGATCAAATCCCATTTCTCATATATCTAATTTTCTTAACCCTTCACCTTTAAAGCTCGATAACACTTGCAGCGTGTCCTCATGCGTTCTGCGCATTTTTAAGTATACACAGTGCTCATTATCTTTAATAGTGTTAATATTTCTAACATAATTTTAAGTCTTGTGTACAAATCTGCACTATTTCTTCTAATATCTAAACCGCTAATATAAATTGCCAGATAGTGGCCGACTGTTTAACTTCACAGAAATACTCACTTGGGATGGGTAATGTTTGTCATAGCCACGGGGTGGTGCGTACAGAGGGTTGCTAAAAACATCATTAGGATCGCCCCCTTGGTACGGTGTCACTATCGTGTGTGGTACGTGAGCCACCTGACCTCGCCAATTCCGAGCTTTCCACCACTTTCTGCTGTCGTCCACCACCTAAAGGAAACAATTAAGAAACACATCCGACACCTCTTTTTCTTACATACAAGAACAAACGATAATCACTTTCTCTAATTAATTTTTTTTAAAAAAATAATGCAGCCGACTCACCTCCAGGTATTCCCCACGAATCACCGTGAGTTCCTTATCGTTATTGGCCGTACGGGGATAAGTCACTTGTACTATTTTTGCGCCTCGTGACCGGAGATCATCCAAGAAGGAAGCCTGAGAACGCTCAAACCTCTGCTGCCCCTCCATCCCCACGGCACCTCCGTTGCGTTCAATTGAATCTGCAGAGATGTCGCTACGAGCACTCGGGTCACGATCATGCGGGGCGCCTGGCAAATCGCGCTCTGAACCGCCAGGACTAGGTGAACGGTCTCTACATAAAAAGCGAAAAATAAGGATCAAAACAATGCAGGTGTTTGAGAGCAAACATATAAGGCACGGACATAACTTTCAAACATTATATTAAAAAAAAAAGTGTAACAGAGCAATTTCAATTTTTTGGACTTTTTTAATCATCATTATGCTTAAGAAAATTAAGTAGATGGCTCTTCCTGTCCTCAGATGAACCCACACACAGCTGGGCCCCATTAGGAGGAGCTAATCTCGATCTGCGGACACATCTGTTTGTTATACTTTCAAATATATTACATCCCTGTTACAAAAAATTAAAAACTCTGAAACATACCTCTCCTCGCGGCCGTAGACATCTTGTCGTGTTCCATAGTTCCGATTGTCATATGCATAGCGTCCAGCCGCAGCAGGTGATGCCTCACGGCGCTCATATTCAAAATAATCACTGCTATAATGTGAGTCATCACGCTCTGCCTGCGCAACAAACATTACATGACTTAATAGGATTTGAGGTACTCATGGCCATGACCAAGAGTCTTCTGGGTTGTAGTGCCATGTGGAATAAAATGAGCTGTGACCTTAAAAATTAAATTTACCTTAAGAAATTAAGTTAATATAATTTTAAGAACATAATCACATTCAAATACATTTAGAGTGCAAAGGACCTGGACATCTTCCTTGTACGTCCCTTGAAAGAATGTCCTAAAAGTGAACTACTGTTTTTTGTTGTATAATTTACAAGCAACAAAGTTTTGTTCTTCTTTGAGAAATAAACCAACTCCAAAGCGACAGACACAATACATTAAAAGTCTAACTGCCGAGTGGGTTTCAGTAAATTTTTATTCCGTCCCACACATAAAATTTCACACTCACATCTTCAGCCCGCGAACGACTGCCTTCTGCCGCCACGGCAGCGGTCGTGCCCCCTGCACCAACGGGTGATGACATGCGCTCCCTTTCATCTGCCACCGGATATTCCGGCGACCAACCATCCAAGAACACCGGATGATACGGGGCAACATAACCCTTCCACTGATCCCTTGGAATAAGCCACGCATCTCCCAGTGAATGCCATAATTCCGTTTCTTTGCTTGTGACGCAATTAATGAGCAGGTTTACGGCTTCTCTGGTAAGCAGGGGTGACACCACTTTTGCAGGTAGATTAGGGCCGTAATGTGTATCGTGCGACGCGTCCACAATAAGCGCCAGGGGTGTGAATAAAAAGTGAACCAACTCTGGTGCGTTTGGATCATGGATATGAGCCTTCAGCTTTGCCTGTAAACGCAGTTTATAAGAATTTAAATAACGGTTCATTCACAAATGTACCAGCTGGTATTTCGACTAAATATTCGTTATTTTAATGTTAATCGCCAATCATACTAATTATGTGATGGCTACTAGCATTGCGTTAAAAATGTGTATTGAGATTGATAAGGTGCACAAACAAACATTCAAAACAAATAATATTTACAGTAGTTTTAGAACTACGCCAAGTTAGCTTAACGGCATTTAAGAGAATGGCTGAAAATGTCACCTCTTGCTCGGCGTAGCTTACCAGCAAGTTGAACGAAAGCTTAAACTTTTGAAAGATGTCGATAAATTCCAACTCCGGAGGTGGCTTAGCTCGCATAGTCAGCATACCATCTCCCAAATCCTTCTTCTTTGATTTCCGGTTCCTTCGACGAGAAGATTATAAAAATAAAATACTGCAATTTATCTATTTATATAATTATTTATAATTTATTTAACGACACTTTTTCAGCAGATCAGACTATATAGCATAGAATAAGGATAGTGAATAATGAATTGGAAAGGTTGTGAAAGGAAGTGGTCATGGCCTAATTTAAGGTAAAATCCCAGCATCTGCCTAGGAGGACTGAGGAAAACAATGAAAAACTCAGGGTAACCGATATCCCCCGAATATGAAGCAGTGAGTGACAATCAGAAAGATTTTACCTACATTCAAAATACTGACTTATCTGTGGGTGAAGTTGAGGATGTTACAGCCTGAATAAAAAGTTCTCTTCCACCATTTTACTAGTAACGATTATAGAAAAATTACAAACTCTCAACCAGCCTTGACGTCATATTGTGTAACTCTCACATGTGAATAAGACATGATACGAATTCAGCTATTTCACTCAGAAATATTTACTTCATTCAACACAAAAGATGCATAACGATTAAAAAAAAAAAAAGAGCATAAATAATGCACAAAATCATAACGACAGAAATCAAAATCCACAGAGTTGCACATAAACAATGAATTCTGTCGACGCAACTAACCTGCGCCTGCGTTCCAGCTCCCTTGACGCAGCGGCTGCATGCTGCAATCTCGCAATGAATTTCTCGATGTCATCAAAGCAGTGGTTCAGTATTGTTACATCACGTTCGTACTTTTCACTGGACGTAGAGCTCACTTCATCATCTCGGTTATGTGCCGGGAATACGACTCCAGTACCTGGACCAATCTCTGAATGCACTGGATCTGTAAGCATAATAATAGAAAAATTAAACATTTTTAGCGTACACTCATCAGAAGGGAAGGTGGGAGATGAGACGGAAGAGTGAGACTTCAACTGTAATAACAATGCAATTCAAAGAGCCCAAAACACAAAATTACTTATCGGATTCCTCCAAAAGAACGGTGTCACAGTGAATGAATGAACTATACCACGCCGTAGTGAACCAAATTATGATATAATTCATTGCAACTCATCGCCATAAACACTTCTGATGTATTACGTATGTGAACATTCATCAATGAATACCAGCTGACTGAAACAAATTATAGTAAAGAATGCCACGGAAATAAATTCAATTAAAGATTTCTTATAACGGCTGGAGGACGCAAAAAAAAAAATCATAGAAGCCCACGGCAAGTGCACCGTCTTAACTGCAAGTATTTTATTATTTAGTGTTCTGTCTGAGGACAGTTCCATATGAACAGGATCCTTCCATCCTTTTCTCGGACTGGGACCTGTTCATATACGTTCTTGGCAGATGATCCAGAAGTGGTTTGCCATTGCCTTCTTCTGTGTGTGAATGGAGTAATTGTTGGGATGCCACGGAGGAAAATTCCGTGTTGCCTAGACCACGGCCTTGCCCAACACAAGTTATAAATTCGGGCACTGCCGGGAATCGAACCCGAGACCCCAAGATTACAAGGCCAGCGTTCTAACCGCTAGACCACCGTGGCTAGTACACTAACGTAAATAAAAATCCACCAAATTGTAGACAGAGATCTATCCCGCCAAACCGTCAACCACATACCTGCACGACTCACCCGATTCTTTCCAATATGCAGGGAGACATTTTCCTTTTCCATAGAATTCTACCGACTTACAATCCCAAAACTCATCTGAATAACAACTACTGATGGAAGCCATCAGCACGGGGCACTCACTAGAGTTCAGGCACCACACATCAAACCACCATTTTCTAATCCTTTTTTAAAGTATCTATTGGACTAACACGCAACAACTGTGCAGTGCTGAGACTGTAGAACTAATGGTCAAGGCCTGAGTATGAGAATTACATGCATAATGAATGGAAGTAACTGGGTCAGGAAGTTCCCAGCCGGTGAAAGTTGCCGGCATTCCAATCCAAGCAGAAATAGGCTACTGCACGTTAAAGGAAACGAGTTACACATGCGGAATGAATGGGGAGGTGAGAGAGAGAGAGACAATAATGAAAGTGAAAGCAAAGGAAAGAGAATCAGAGCACAAGATTGGTGACTTCCTGGATATTATTAAAAAAAAATCTATTAAAAACTGTTCTCTCATTTTAAATGTTCAATTCATTAATTCCTTTCGATCAGCTGTTAGCATATGAAATGTTACAAATTGAAATATTGTCCACTCAATGAGTTTCTAAAAAAAAAAAAATTGTAGAATATAGCGAAAAATATCACTGAACAGCAGCAAACAGAAATAACAATTATTTTTAAATCACGATATAACGACAGGCTTTTCTAATGCATATACAAATTATGTTTTAAAATGGAACGCTAAACTGCTGAAAATTATCTAAAGAATCGTACACTTTAAAAAAAAAAGTGCTGTTTACATAAATGTTTGTCCCTTCATCAACAACAACATTTCACTGTCTGGCCAAATTTTTTTTTAGACGAAACACCTTTTACGTAATCCTAGACATTTCAACCCATAATTCCTCTTCTAAAGTATGGTCATGGGCAGAGATACTGAGTTTCGAGGTTCTTTAATTCATTTTCCACACTCTAAATGCACCTAATCTGCGAAGCAAACATACTTCTGACTCACCCTGTATATATCAGTACATAACATGAGAAGAATGTTGAACTTCTGTGAAACAATGAATTGTAAGAACATCTATCAACTACCTTAATACCACACAGATAAGAAATTATCTCTCAGTAAATAAGTAAAAAAATACTTACGGTGAGCAGCTGCGTTAAATACTGACACTTGTTCTCGAACGTTAACTCCATTTCCTGGAGGTTCTGGCGGGGGTGTGGCAGGAGGAGGGGGGATATGACGTGAACGCCGGCGAGCGGGAGCTTTACCGGCTCGTAATAACTTCAGATCTTCAACCAAATCCTGGGCAGAAATGCTTTGGCACTGAAAGAAAATTAGTTTTCACAGTAATACAAGTTTCTTCTGGCACGGGGTCGGAAAAAATAAATAAAAGATAAGATTAAGAACTATTACATAACAGAAACCTCTTTTTTCAATGGTATCTGAAGCGAATATCTTTGTCACCTACATCTGAGATAATCTAATTAACTTAATGCTTTATACGCTTCAAAATCGCAGGATCAGGTACTACAATGCTAAAATGAGATCTAACGTATCTCGAACAGAGGTCATTAAAAAAATTAAAAAAAATGTGATGCTCAAGACAAAGCTAAGAGACGTAGATCATCCATTTTATTTTACAGATTAAAGATTTGAAGGAGAAAAAAAAACCAGTTCTTGTTGATTCCACCGGAAGAAAAGTCCAACATTCAATAACAGCAAAATAGTATAACGTAATAAACTTCCTTATACCACACGCACCTGGAAAATGTGCATTTCAGAACGCGAGCCTAAACGTTCTGCCCGTTCATCGCCCACGATGAACACGAGAATGTTGTTGTATATCTCCATGGGATCATGGCTTGTAAACGCTGTAGGTTCCTGGATCAGAGCAACTGGAAATCTTTCCATCACCGCCTGCGTAAAAAGATTCCTATCAACTATTCTCCCTCAGAGACATATAACAGATGCTAATTGTCAATGTTATACGCAATGTTTATGAAACATGATCTCTCACTTCAATTGCATGTCGGGATAAAATAAAGCAAAATAAAATAGAACGGAACAAAAGAAAATAAAACCAAACACAACAGAACCGAAGAAATAACTAAATTTATCCAAGATTTACCGCAAATATAAAAAAAAAAGCACTTCTTACCCCAGTTTCGTAATCCATGATAAGTACCCATGACATGTCAAGTCTCAGCTGCATTTTCTGCGACCAGATTCCGTTGGACTTTTCAAGCTGAAGAAGCCTGCGCATGCCGTCGGCAGGATAGACGATACCAGTTTCTTTGGCGACCGTGAATGTTGCCAGATGCTCCATGAGATACGTGGGTGCCTCTTCACTACTCTGGGGGCCATCTGTAAACAGAAAATCAACACTACCGTAAGTATAAAAAAAAAAGAAACTTGGAAGGAGACGAGGTATAGCTCCTACTCATTCTTACTGTCGGCACTAGACGGGCGAGTGGTCAGCATTACGCCCCGGCTAGAACAAAAATCCTCTCCCTCCGTCGGCGATCAAACTCCAGTTGGCCGGTTCGTAGTCAGTCACTATACTGGACCGAGCTACCTGACTGATACCGTATAAAAATACTAAATGATGCATTATTTTATTTAGTGTTCTGTCTGACGACAGGTCCTATGAACAGGATCCTTCCATCCTTTTCTCGGACTGGGACCTGTTCATATACGTTCTTGGCAGATGATCCAGAAGTGGTTTGCCATTGCCTTCTTCTGTGTGTGAATGGAGTAATTGTTGGGATGCCACGGAGGAAAACTCCGTGTTGCCTAGACCACGGCCTTGCCCAACACAAGTTATAAATTCGGGCACCGCCAGGAATCGAACCCGGGACCCCAGGATTACAAGGCCAGCGTTCTAACCGCTAGACCACCGTGGCGGTAAATGATGCATAAAAAAACATAATTACATTTATCTATTCAAGGTTTATTTGACGACTCTTTTCATATCAAATACTATAAACGTGTGAGAAGAGAACTTCACGTTACTTTAACACCTGTTCCTTCTTATCCAACTGCAATTATTAAATAAATAACCCGAGATACTGATGCGTCACTTATATTACGTCTGCAGCATTGCCAAAAGCCACACCTCAACCTCAACAAATTTATCCCTATTATAAAAAAAAGTTATTAATTACCTGGTGAGTAGCCATTGGAATGTACACTCGAGCGATGGTACGGCATCATAACAGAGCGGTCTAGGGAATACGCTGAGCTGAAACCAAAAAAAGGCAAATATCCAGCTTGATAAAAGAGATTATAGCGACGAAGTAACTAGACCTTTAAGCAAGTGAAGTATTTTTATTGTCCTGATCATGTACTGACACCTTTACAATTGTTTCTGCTATCAAGATTAAGAAACTGCTCAAATATATCATGACAGATAAGCTTGTAGGAAGTTAAGATACTGATAACCAACTGGCTTCAAATTCTAAGATAAAATTCCATATGTGTGAAAACATACGTAAAAATAACTTTGTTAATTAGCGTGTGATTTAATAAAAATCAACTATCACATTATGCTATTGCAGTAATACAGCGCCACTGTGTTTGAAGTAGCTGCAAGTCCAATCTAAATTTATCTATAATGGGACCCACCCCATTCTTTTGTTTCTTATTAATCCCGCAACAGATTTCAACAAAAGATATCAGACCCACATTAATGTCAAACGCGGAGTCAGAGATTTTAGTACCGAATCCACAGCCCTGATTCAAACTCACTTGTAGCTGTGTGCGTCCCAGCTATGCTCCGGTGACGGATGCCCTTCAACTCCCGGCATGACTCCCCTCTACTCCAGGGGCTAGAAAGCCAAAATTTTTTAATGCAACTGGATCGTATCATTAAACACGCTGGCACAATTCTATTTTTCACTTTAAACCATATTGATCTCAAGTTTACATTATTTCAGGTTATAAATGACTGAAAATATGTGTAAAAACACAGGCACACACGAAATCATATTCTGAGCTGGAGAAAGGATGAGATATAACTGCTTGGCTGCAAAAGAAGGAATATTTCAAAGCTAAATTACTGATACTTTCCACTGGCAAAACATCCTCAAGAATGAGGCACGACTATTTCATTAATAATTTGTGTTACATAATCCCACATAATTCTAGTATAGGTAATTTGTTTACATCACTTAGTTTTTTAAGTACTTCCAAAATATTGTGTATTTTTACATAAGCTCCAATTGAATATTAAAAGTGTTATCACAATCAGCTACATTTACACTATTATTTCCATAATTTTAATATTAAAACTAGAACTAGCTCTTGCTGAAAAACATTTACAAAAATTGAAAATTTGTCATACATTCAAGATGATACCATGCACATTAAGTGTACAGTGTAGTGTGGATAGCACCATCTTAAAGTTTACCTTATGCTGTTCATGGCAGACTAATGGTGGTTCAACACACTTAAAAAGGCATTTATAAAATGTGTAAAATGGAAGTCTGCTCTTAACACGCTGAATAGTGGCTAAAAAAAGTGGTGTCATCAATTTTCAAATTTGACCAAGAATTAATTAAATTCTAATGACAACAAAGACACTGAGGAGAACTCAGGTTCCAATGAATTGCCAACCCCAATTAGTTTAAAATAATGCCTAAAATATACCACAGTATTGCCTCTGGGAAAATTATAACAATTTGATTTTATTTGATTCGGCAATGTTCACAGGAGACCGTCGACCAACCGGGTCTTATTTCTGCGAGCACGAAGACAGTAAAGTTACTAAACAAGGATCCATCTTGCTGGGAGTGCCAATATTTACATAAACGGGCTTTACGTTACAAAATTAAAAATAAATCACATATGCTAAGGAATACAGGTCACGACATTAAGGTCAAATAAAATATTAAAAAAGAAGTTCGTTTTGCGTTCCGTAAACCGGACGTCACGAAACATATTCACAAGTGCGTCGTTTCTCACCAAACACAGTCACCAATACCAATCTATCGGAACGGGCCAATATGGGAAACGAATGGCCGCGCCCAGCTCTATGCGATGGAATGTCACAAATGTTCGAAGGTCTTGACAGCAAATGACGGCTTGTTTAAGAACAATACTGAAACTGGTTGGATTTGTATTTTACAACTGGCAGATTCCGTTACTTCATCTCCAACAAACAAAATAGTACAGTACAAAATCTACAATACAACAAATTCCAACAATTTTATGGACTTACACGATAATAACCAAACTCCATACTATGCACTGAACTTTCACGAATATATATTTTAAATATAAGATATGATTTTTTACTTTAACTCGGTAATACAACGTAACAACGCCGTTCACTTAGAATCACCACTTTATCACATCTGTACTAATCAAAATGATTACGAAACTAAATCTACAGGTGGTTCTCACCAACGCACTTAACAACCCACGTACACAATACAACCTTCATATCCCAAACACGCCATACGTATGGTTTGGCGCTAGTATCGTTCTCGCCTTGTGGAACTACGATCATTGTAAGTTGGTATCTCTGAGTATGAATGATTATTCGTAATTGCGGAGAAAGAAGTAGGCGTAAGCAAAGTTATGTGGTTTTTAGAAGCCAATTAAACCTCTGCTACATTAATTTCGTTTAATTACGAATTTCTGAATATTCTCAGAAGTTAGTCAAAACAGTTCTGAATGCCACGAAAGGCAAGTAACATATATATTGCCGTGAGGTATTTGGAGCTCGAGACGTTCTGACGTCGGAAGGAAGTCATGTCGGAATTCCAACGCATGAGTTACTGCAATGACGTTCACTTCCGTATTATAGGTGTCCGTAATTACAAGACTTGCGCACACAACGTTTATTTTAGTACCTGTCCTGCGAGAACAAAGTGAAAATTCGGCAGGGTATTTTCACACAAATTGCATAATAATTTTGGTCCCTTGCTGAACAACGATATTATATAAGCTGACCTTCAGAGTAGACCATAACACGTATATTATAAGATTCCACACAGATTGGAATGTTGAAGTTATACATGTCTTCTGTATTCAGAAGTAGTTTCTATTGGCATAAATAATGAATACTGAATGTAGTATTGCACCTATAATATGCCAATCAGATAATATACAAAGGCTAATTTGACCTTCACTTTGGAACAAAGAATTTAAAAATTCTCACCACGTAATTTGTGAGGAACCTCAGTAGCACACCACTTTAAAAAATCACTGTATAATTATATTACACTAGTAAACTTATCAGTTTCATTGGACATAAAGTGAAGCCTTCATTTGAAGAGAAGACTATGACATAGGTCTGAATTCTTTGTAATCTTATCTTTCCTGAGATAAGACACATTGTTCTGCTTAATCCATTACTGAATTAATGATATTTCCTAACAACTCATAGAATTATTAAATATTTGATAAATAAAAAATTATGTGAACCTTACAAACAACCCTTAAAATAATTACAATATGAAATTTAGGAAAAGCATTTTGTAACCACATTGGATAGCTATCCTATTTTCCATTGTCTCGAGTATGTATTCGTATTAAGGAGTAATAAACTGTACCATTTGAAGATTATCACTTAGCATTGCTCACAATTAAATACTTAATTCTGGAAAGGACTAATTTAATCATTATTAATCAGTATTACTGTCAGGATATTGACAAACATCTACTTTTAATTTTTTCCCCCCTGAAAATATCAGAGGTCTGATCGTCTGATACATATCAGTGGATATGACACAAAAAAGAAACTCATCCCTAAACCCAAGAACATTTATGTTTAAAGTATCACCTGCAGCACAGTAATTAGTTTCAAAGGAATTCATTAGTATTTTACCCATTTATATAAGAATGTCCCCACTTAATGGTACCTGGACCTTGTCGTGGAGGTGGGGCTTGAGTACCTCAGTGACCCCAAGAGCTATGCTGGTGGTAGCATGGCTACTGGTAGGGCCTCCCTAGCCAGATTGGTCAAGGGGGAGAGGTCAGACTAAGACAGGTACCCTGGTCTTCCAGATTGGGGGTTGGTCGCAAGGCTAAAACCTTGCACCGTAAAAAGGAAATGTTTCGAAACCCCGATCAAAGCCTCCGACAGACGGATCTAACAGAGGACCGAATGGAAGAGGAGAATTGAGGAGGCCATGGACCGAATACGGACGGGAGAGCCATAGAAGATGAAGAAAGAAGAATGTGTGAATACAAATTTTTATTTCAATCATTAAATGATGATGATTAACATAAGAAAATACTAACTTAATTTTTCTTAATCATGCAAGACATGGTGTAATATCCTTTCCTTTTTTTCTAGGAAAAAACCATGTGGTTTCATGTTCTTATGATGAAAATTCAATAAAGAAATTCTTACAAATATTTGTTTTTCCTGTGGGTGGCAATATATATATAAGCCCTTTGCAGACCCAACCGTTCAAACACAAGCAGTAAAAGAGAGGTCGAGCCTGTAACTTCAAATATTACATGATTTTTCTGCGTAACAATTTCAGCCAGGGCTCCGTGTCATGGTGTCGGTCCATCACGAAGCTTCTACCTACACAGGACAATATAACACAGAAACATTCATGATTTGAGTGGGATCTGAACCCACAATCCCAGTATTCACGTCACCACAAGACCCACGACTTAGACCACACAACCAGTGATATTCGACATGATTGGTCAAATTAATTTTCAAGGGTTTTTTTTATACACAAATGTGAGAAATATTCAATCTATTGAAAGACACGAGATGGGGGAATTTCAAAGGCATTATTAATTTCTTACTTTGCGTAAAGTATACCTCAAAAACCTGTCACCTGGATATGCTTCTGAAGGAACCAGCTTCTTTTAAAGGAAAGAAACTTAAATATTTATTTATAGTTTATTTAAGAATGCTTTTTCAGTGTCAAATGAGAGGATAATAGTGAATTATGAATTGAAAAGGATGTGGCAGGAAGCGGTCATGATCTAATTTAAGGTACTATCCTGAAATTTGAATGGAAGGACTGAGAAAAATCATGAAAAGCCTGAGTCGGGATATGTGCCCTTTGGGCCAAGATTTTAACGTGGGACCTCCCAGAGATGAACCTTAAAATATAAACTTATTAAAAGAGAAATGTTTATAAGTGGATCTTCTTAAGATGTTAGTAAATCTGCAAACTTTACAAAAAAAAATTCAGTGTGAACTCCTGTTACCATCTACTTTATCATTCATCAGTATAAAATTATACCATTTTAATTAAATTAATAGAAATAGTTCTGACTGGTGGTTTTTCATACTCGCATACTCTTTAGACGTGACAAGGTTGCTAAATTGAGAAGTCCTCGTGACTGCTTCTTCGAAGCTTTATCCTGTACCGTACAATCAGGAAAACGGCGGCTGTAAATATGCGGATACGATTCTTGAAACTGCAATAAAATAAAGGTACAGACATTTTAATTAAATTAACTTATAAAATTTATAAGAAATACACAAAAACAACGTTGTTGTGAATATTTCAAATAAGCATTTGTGGATTGAGAACAATGGGTGACCCTTCAGATCAGACTGAGAATGGGGACAAAAAACGTCCGCTATGCAAAAATTCCAAACTTTACAAAAATCATTCCAGAACTATGTATTCCATATACAGTAGCAAATTGCATTTTGTGAATAAAAAATACCCATAGTTATTTACTAAATACCAGATATGTTTCAGATTTTTAGTGAACGTACAAATATGATTTTAATGTATGTATAATTTAAATGAGAAAGAAAAATTAGTCAGGACTAACATTCCACGTAACAGTGGATACAACTGTGATATGCTCACCATTTTTAAACGTTTCCTTTTCTCCTTAGGAGCCATCTTGCAGTCTGAAAGTATTTGTTCAAGCAACTCCGAGAGAGCAAGTTGTGAACCCGTGAGTCTCTGATGTTCAAACTGCCGGCTAGACACTTGCTGGCAATATGTCACACTGCCACTTTTACAATTTTCCTGCAATGTCACCAGTTTATATAAACTTTCCCACAGCTCCCACTTCCATTCAAGAAAATAGAGCTGCCTCAATAAGAATTTTTATTTCAATTTCTTGAGTTTTGATTGTTCAAGAATAAAATGTCTGCAACTGCCCTGCCACCACAAGGAGAGGGGGGGGATTTACATGTTGAAATATGAAACGGTAAACATATCAAATGCAGAAAATTCAGCTTTCAGCATTGTCATGAATTCCTTTCACTGTCGATCTAACTGGTCTTGGCACAATAAAGGTTAAAATGCAATACGCATTGTCTGAAGAGTTCAAGGACATCCAGCAGTCGCCAAATGAAAAATTTGAAATAAGCCTCCCAAATAACCAGTATCATTCTACATAAACCTTCTTCCGACAACATTAATATTTCCAAAACATTCCTCCCTAAGACTTATATTTGTTATCAAGTGTAAATTTACTCACACTGTCTGTTTGTTGTCTGGATACAATAAACTGAACTTCAGTTGCCAAGTCACTTGGTATGCTGAGTACCAACTCATGGTGAGACATGAGGAAATACACAATTCTGCGTGCCAAAGAGATATCAAAATCGGCTTCACGTTCACTGCGTAAAATTGTAGGTGTGAATATATCTACAACCTAACAACAAAAATCACTATTAATAAAAGTGAAGTTACAAAATCAAAGGTATATTTCAACCATCGAGACTGTAAATTAAATTTCACTTATGACGGCATAAACGACATGCCACTTTTTTCTCAGAATTAAGCTACTGGCAAACTGTACAACAGATAGCTGTCCTAAAAAATAATGTTTAGATTAAAAGTAGATAAGATACTACTTCTGCAAAAGGTTTCAAATTCTTAATGTGACCTAAGAGTGGACTCCACAAAACACAAAATATAACATAAAGTAAATAAGTGTTAGTAAAGTTCAGTATTTATGAATCTATCAGCTACAACGTATTTATGCATGAGACTTACATCTGTCTGAACACAGAGAGAACGGTGCAAATTCCATTGATTCATGAAATGCAGAAGATACCGAAGTTGAATGCGGTTGTACACGGGAATGCACAAAAGCAAAAGTTGTGTGACGGTAACCATCAATTTCTCCCCATTTTCCCCAAAGTTCATATGCACTACTCCACCTACAGGAAAAAGAAATAGCAAGAAATAATATCACCTGTCCCTCACACTACCAAGATGTCAGCTGGAATTAAGCACCCCATACTGTAAAAAACAAACATTACCGGTACTACAAGTTTCAAGTAGCCAGAAATTTTTACCATCAGATTTTGAAACTTTAATATCGATTGCAAAGTTAGAGGGCATATCAAAGAACGCAGGTATTTCATCTGAATTTTTATATGACGTCGTAGGTGTAATTTTTCCGGTTACATACTAATCACATGCCTCTGATATGCGCCAAACTTCTCGGCAAAATCCATCCATCCTGACGCCCAAGTGTAATCTGGTAAATATGGTAGTATAAATGACAGCGTAATCATGAATAAAATACAAAAAAGAAAGTTGTCAACCCCTACTTTAATGCAATATCCAAACATGTCAGGCAAATGAGAGCGGCAAAAACCTTTGTCAGGACAACTGGCCTCTGCACCAAGATTCAAACCCCAGAACGTACTGAATACAAAGCAGAAGAGCTAGACCCTAACACTTAACTTCACATACCATTATTATTATTATTTACAATTACGTGTAAAATTCAAGAGGTGAACACTTTCCATTCCTTAAATCAAAATATTTAGAAGGAAGGAAACAATAAATAAAATATCATATATTAAATTATCATACACATTGCATGTATATCACATATTATACGAGGCTGAAAAAAGGAATAAATCATATTTCATACAACATACTTTTACAATTTGTAAACATATTGTATGAATACCTTACTGCATATAGCGAAAAAAAATGTCATTTTAATTATACAGTATAGTTACAAAAGGACTGTCGCAAGTCAGATGATTAAATTATTTCATAAAATTGCTCCCTGCTTTGAGCTTTAGAATCCGTAACTAAAGCCCAGTCGTACTATTTTTGACAAAAATCACCACAGCAGTGTTTCATTACTGAGGTGGTACTGGTCTCATGTTTATTTAATATTTCTAATAATACCTGTATTAACATTTTCCAAGCTGTCAGCCAGCACTCTGCTACTTCGTCGTGAACTAGCTTCTGAACTGGAGCTGGATGCGGCAGTGTAGTACGAACTACTCTCGCTGCTCTGATTTCCAGGCTGGTCTATGTCAGATTCTGCGTCTGTACCTTGTCGGCCAATCTAAAAATATGTACTACGTTCAGGAATGATCCTTAGACAGGATGATGATGATAACAGTAGAAATGTTTCTCCAATCACTGTCTGAAATAAATATTTAGTTTTAAGCACATAATTAATAAAAATAACAAACCAACTCATACTCACAGAAACAGGTGGATTATCACGACGACTGCATCTCATTAAACTATTCAAGCTTTCCAAAGCTGCAACATAATCAAGTTCTTGTTCAGGTTCAAGGTTGTAATGTGACCGAACCTTGGCTGTCTCTGCAAAGTCTTCAGTATCAACAATCTCATCATTGGACTGAGACAGAGCTGGGTTCACATAACCACCCGACTTATTACGAAAGTGGTACAGCTTTGTGTCTTCCTCCACTCCTATTCTCACTCTTCGTCCAGCTTTCCGGCTAGCCAATTTTACTGCGTGCCTCCTTCCAATCATTTGACGTTTTGTTCCGGATTGAACGTTTCTTTTCTGAGCTGCTTGCGCGTTTGGTAATGGCTCACTAAGATCTGGAGCACTTGATATTCTCTTTGGTGGAACATTTTTACCTTCTTGCCCATGCAGCGAAAAATGTAAAGTATCTACACTACGCTGCGGTACAATACGAGTTATAGGGCTATCTGATGTAAATGCAGTTTCGAAACAAGAATTAGGCGGTAATGCCATGGGTAGAAAACCACTGGCACTCAATTCTGATTGTCTTGAAACCATCCAATTACTCATGGCTAAGTTGCCTGTTGCAACGTATAAAAATACTTTTGTCAGTGTAGAGTACAATTTAAATGTGGTCAGAGGCTCTTGCAATTTGAAATAATGCTCCTTAAACGCCGTTATGATTTCATTTGGCACAGCCTGAGGCCCTGAAAATGAAAATGTCAATGAACACTCAGGCAGGAGAGTAAAATGTAAAGTAATACTACAGAATTCACTATAGCAGGTAAACTTACAATGTATAAGGCAGTTCATAGCAGCCACCAAAGACTGAGGAAATTGTGAGTCATGCTGAAGGTGAACCTCACTAGATGCATTTGCAGTAAGCCATTCACAAGGAATGCTTTGCAACTCAAACTTGAATGGAGTCTCCAACCCTGGTGTGTATTTTTTAAACCTGGAATAAACGATAACCAGTTCCATGGAAAATGTAACCATAAAAAGAGGCAACACAATTTATATAACCATGAAAGAAAAATACTTCAATCCTATTAATATAGTAAATTATACCAAAAACAGACTTTACTCCTTTCCCTGTATTTTAATGATAAAATACCATCGTCAAAAAACGAGCCCTTTTTAAACAAACTTTGAGACTACTAAAAATTTTAACATAAGACATATTTTAATTTTTCTTGCGCTCAGTACATTATGATTCATAGTTGCATACATGCAGTCAGTGTCTTACCTAGCCAAGACTACTTTCTTCCATATCTCTCCTATTTCAGACAGTTGAAGAGGCTCTGCCATAATAGGTTTATCAAAGTCTGAACTTCCAGACCTGAAAGGATTCTTTTCTTCCTGCATCTTGGAGGTAGTTACATTATTCTGGCTACACTTCAGCTGTGAAGTGTACGTTTGATAATCGTGAATCTGTTTTCCATCAACTGATACATATTGATTTGTGCTATTTTCCCCAGGAAATGCACTGTTATTTACATTTAGGTATGGCCTTCTGCTTACAGGGGCATTGTTTATGTCACAGTGCACAGGTTTTATAAAACCACTTATATCATCTATACTCCTCTGAGACAGCTTTTCGTTATGCATAGGATTTACTAAATCATTGCTTGCATTAGTCATATAAGGCTTACTGAGATCTGGTTTTGGTTGTATCATACTTGAACTCCTCTGAATTTTCTGAGATGTTGGCAAAGTCGTAAAAGTTTCCGAGTAGTGTTTGTAACCCAGAGACGTGTTGGTATTTCTGGAATTAACTGGATTCAGATGCCTGTTCTCCATGGTTTTTTCAGAGTGAACTTCACCTTGCTCAGAAGATGATACATAATATCTCCTACTACAGTTTTCAGAAGGTCCTTTAAGTTGGTTCTCATAAGCAGATAAACGGTTGTGATGCAGGTCAGATTCACCATGATAACCATGGTTTTCCACATTTGGAATGTTGTTGACACCGACTTGAACTGATCCATATTCTTTATGAACCTGATTGACACTGATTTTTCCGTGATTTGTTCCATACTGTACACTTTGTCTAGGACAAACATCAGTTTTGTTCTTAACACATTGGTCAGACAATGGTAATGCAGGCCTGTACTCTTCTGCTGAGGCATAGAAATGCCAATTATACTCTGCTGGTTGTATTATAGAACTTGTGGTAGGTGGTAGACCTACTGTGTGATGTGCATCAAGTCTGGGTACAGCTGATTTAGAAGAACTGTGTGCAGAAGTAGTGTTCTTTTGTTTGTCTCCACCTGCGTTCTTAACAGACCATTGGCTTATTCCAGTTTTTGGTGGAATATTTAGTGACTTATTGACCAGAGGTAGTCTAGTACTGCTGATGTCTGATAAGCTATACAGAATAAGAAAACTACATTATTCTTAATTAACAGACATCAAGTACTTTACGTGTGCACTGAATCAAGAGCCTACATTTCAAGAGTGAGAAGAAACATGGTAAAAAAATAAAATTGTCACTCAGATTACATATTACAAATATGAGTGAAGCAAACTTGGCGTCATATAATTACTTTCAACATGTAACTGCAACACTGGTGCCCTAAGTAGATCCAAAAATGTTGGGTTTTAATTCCATAATGCCAAGGCCTACTGTCTGAAACTTTCTTCAAACTGAACTGCTACAAATGCAATTAAATTTATTCATATGGTTAAAAAATTATGTAATTCAATGCTGAACAAGTTGTAAAAATTTTGAACAAAAGAATTCCTGTATAATAAGAAATCCAATAATTGGTTCCTTGACTGAATCTTGAAATGAGGTTGCAAACACAGAATACACAATTCTGGACTGCCTCAGACTTCACAAGTAGAAACATTCATTTTCATAACTTCTGTATGTAGGTAAAAGTTCTAGTTTAGTCCCCCCACCACCAAATTTTGGGCACAATACAAACACAAATGTTTAAAATGTACTTACTAATACAGATCCCCTTCCTTGAGAAACTGGTAATGAATATCAAATGGAGTAGATGCACTGATATGCTGAAAGACACCAGCTTTGAGGAATTTATTAAGCAGTTGAACTGTCTGTTCTCGTGTTACAATGCTTCCCAAATGAAGATTATTCTGCAGAACAGACTGAAACCAATTTACAGCTTCCTGTCCTGTGAAGCAGTTGTCATACACTTTTATATGACGGCGATGTCTTTTTAAAGGAATTCCATTTCGAAATGTTTCAACCATTTCATTCCACTGGAAGAAACAAATTTGTGCTATGACATGTGCTACATCCTTGGCTTAGGCCAATAAAGAATCTATGGAATGCAGATAAATTCTATTCTATTCACAGTAGCACTGCATGCAATGACTATGATTACATACTCTATTAGATAAATTCTGTTCTATTCACAGTAGCACTGTATGCAATGACTATGATTACATACTCTATAAACAAACTTTAGATGCCAGAGCATTTATTTATACTTATGCAACTAAATCCAGAGCAATGTAGGCCAATTAGGATCCTTTACCTATAATTCTTAATATGGTATATTTTACAGAGCTGATAATGTTTAATTTGCTATTGTCACTAAAATATCAACGGTCAAATTGATACTTACCATTTTCGTAGCTTTATATGGACCATAATTTCTTGAACTTTCCATTACATGCATAAAATACAAAGCATTCCACAAATTACCGAACAAAAAAATTAGGACAGGTTATAAAGCAATCAACTTCTTCCCTCATCTAACATCATACACCAAACAACTTAACTTTCAAATTTAAGTTTGGTATACGTCTCCTTTGTAACGGCTCTCATTGGTTGAATTCCGGAATTACGATCGGAAACGAGCACAGATTAGTACCAACTATGAAAACCCTTCCCCGTTGAATCAATGCTACCAATGTAAGGTTATGAATATCTTCCGTCCACACCAGATGGCAGCATTATTCTTTAATGTATAACGTATGACATCATACCTTCAGATATAGTTCAGAAATTTCTATATTACGTAGAATTCTTACATCTACGAACCGGCTAGGAGTAGGCCTATTTTCTACTCTCGACAAAACAGTCATTGATCATGCCCGGAATAGAATTCGAAATCGCACGTCGGCACAAAAGTGCCTTAGACCACGCAGGAACTATGGTCGGCTTAATATTTATAATTAATTTCATGGAGCAGAGCCCCTGTTGAGAAACCCAATCAGCTAGTTCAAAAAGTCCCGCATTTTATTGTTATCCGTTGGTAATATTGTTGAAGCAGAAAATTTTCACTGCGGTAGGACGCTGTTTGCGGAAATGTTATCTTATATAAAAATTAATAATTTCAAAACGTATGTGGGAGAAATTGTTATTGGTCCTTTGCGATCATTGACAGTTGTGCTAGGGAGAAATGGGTCAGGTAAGATCGCTGAGCTTGTGTCATAATATTAACTGAATGGCTGGACGGATTTTCATGAAATTTGGTATGGACGTTCTGAACATTCAAGCACCCGCCCAAAACTCTCACACTCATGCTCCATATTTGAGGCATTTACCATCTGGTGAATAGTGGCGAAAGCAGAGACAGCATGTTTATTTTCACTAACAATAATGGATTTATGTTTTTTTGACGGTTCAAATTTTAGGCAACAGAATTTTATTGTACAAAAATAAATTAATATTGTAGGTCAAGCTACTAATTTTTAAACTGAATTCTGTTTACATTTCATTTTGTAGGTAAATCAAACTTTACAGATGCTATTGGCTTTGTCATGGGAACTAAGCTGGCTCTATTACGTGCAAATAATTTTTCTAACTTGATTCATGGAGGAAATGTCAGGAAACCAACATCAGATACGTAAGCTTCACTTTCATTATAATTACAGTTTACAGAATTATATTGCGAATGAGTATGCAAATGAATGAGTGAGTGAGTAACACAAGAACTATAAGTATGTGTCAATACGTTGATAACACACATTCCTTTCTCACTATTTTAAAGCCTTTTATGTGCATGATTTATTTCGATTTTTTGTGAGACCTCATATTATAATATGTGAATAATGCATTTTGCAGAAAAGATCATCAAGAAGGCAAAGAATGATATATAGCTTTATAATATTGTACAAAGCATTTGCCTGCTGTTACTGTGTAATATTTTGAATACAATTTTGTATATTCACATATGTATATAGAGATTAAATATTAATAAACTGTTTCATAGCAGAAATTTATCATGTTATAAAAATGCATATGCCTTGTGTGTTGTGTTACAGAGGTTCAGTGACAGCTGTTTTTAATTTGGAGGATGGTACAGAGAAAGAGTTCACTCGCATTATTAAAATGCAGCAACAGACATCATCTGCTCTTTCTTTATATCTTGTTAATAACGAGGTAATAAATTTATTTCTGCAGCAGTTTCTATCACTGGTTTTAAAATGCATACATGTTGTGATACACGTATAATGTCAGCCATTTTACATTTATTTATATTTATTTATGTAATTGCTATATTATTAATTTATAAGTGAGGAATATTATTGGTGCTGTTGGCTTAAATATATTTATTTCTGCTTATTTTTTAAAGAATCTGATAATAATAATATTAATTAAACACAATTAAAAGACATCCTTTATCAAAGCTACACTGCGTGGTAAAGAACGCTGATTTTTACCAGAAAAAGCTTGAGTGTTGATATCGAAATGAATGTCCACGTTCAACAAATTTCTGTTAAGATACAACTTTTTCAGATGTTAAGTATTTTCTTATTCAATAATATTGTACTAATTCAGCTTATTTTCATGTAGGAAGTGGATGAAAAGGCTTACCTAAGCGAACTTCAGACTTTAGGTGTGTGTGTAACGTTTGAGAATTTTTTTGTTTTCCAAGGGAACGTTGAAACATTCGTGAGGATGAAACCAAAGAATTTTACTTCTGTAATTGAGGAGTTATCTGGGTAAGAATATTTATCAGTGTGGAAAAAATATTTTACTTGAATTGTACGCTTTCTATAGTTTTTTTAACAAAAATTAAAGACCAGCTGTAATTACTGTGTTAATTTATGTTCACATAATTGCGCAGCTCTGGAACTCTTAAGGTGCAGTATGATGATTTACACAAAAAGATGAAGAAAATAGAAGATCAACTAAACCAGTTGGCTCTCCGGAGGAAGACTTTAATGACAGAGAATAAAAAGAAGAAAACAGAAATGCTGATATACAAGGAATACCACAATTTGATACAGGAATTGGTAAGGATCGTACAGCGTTTCAAGAAAATTGTGGTTTCAGTATAGATCTTATACTTTTTTTCCCCCTCCGCAGTGTAATAGCAGTCTAGACCCAACTATGATAAAATTAATATTAATAACCCGTTAAATAAATATGGAAGGCATGCGAGTGTTTGGGACATAAATATCTCGATATGCTTAAGAGGCTTTTGACAGCTTATTATAGTTTCATAATTAATTTGACTAAAGTTTTAGTACAGATATGTATTAAAAACTTTTTTAAATTACTGCTTAATCTAAAAGGGGGCAATCTTCAGGTGGAATGTTTTACTTTCAAATGACTGGGGAAGAAAAATATTTATAAATTAACAGTAGCCATTAAAACAGTGTAAGTATTTTATAAAAAAAAAATTACTGTTGTCTAACAGCTAAATTAATTCTTTACAGGAAATAATTCAGTTAGATGAAAAGCTAGTACTTTTATATGACAATGAGAGGCAAGCCAAACACTGCGAAGAAGAGTGTAAAAGGTTTGAGGACAACATATGGATGTTGAAAAGACAGAGGACAAAGGCACTTCAGGAGCTCAGACACAAAAATCTTGATAAATTGCGTGTCCACGTTTCTAAAACAGCTGCAGACGTACATAAAATGGTAAATAATTTGTCACTGAAGCAAAGCGTTGTGGTACATAATTGTAATCAGACTCTTTTATTGCCAGATTTTAATAGTGTTTTATACCATCACCTTCATCAATCTACTGAGGGCTGGAGATGTTATAAAACAGGGTCCTTCCTCACAATTTTCAGCCCAGTTTGTTGATTCAACAGCTTGAGAGAATTAAATGTTCCACCATCTGGATACTAGCTAAGAAGTAAGCTCAGTAGTGTTGAAGATATCTGTCTTCTGGGTTGTTGCGCTGTGTAGTCTGGTCGATGTTAACCAACGTTTCAGAGGTCATACTGCCTCCGTCATCAGAGTATGAAGATTTCTGTCTTCTGGGGTGTTGCGCTGTGTAGTCTGGTCGATGTTAACCAACGTTTCAGAGGTCATACTGCCTCCGTCATCAGAGTATGAAGATTTCTGTCTTCTGGGTTATTGCGATGAATCGCCCTGATGACGGAGGCAGTATGACCTCTGAAACGTTGGTTAATATCGACCAGACTACACAGCGCAATAACCCAGAAGACGGATATCTTCATACTCACCGCTGTGAGAACCTCAAGTTTTACTCAGTAGTGTTGTTGCTACTTACGAAGGCTCCATACGCTAGCATTTCCTCCAGCACTGATGTAGCAGTTATTATCTTGTGAATGAACTTAAAAAAGGGCATGCCAGAGGGATGCAAGGTTGATTGGTGAGGGGAGGGTATTATTTTATGTGTGGTGAAAAATAAGGTTCGTACTTATTTTTGTAGGAAGCTGAATATAAGAAGAAATGTCAAGCATTAAAGTGCAAAGAAAGAAATGTGGAACACCTGACGCACAAAGTGAAGTTAGTTGTCGATTCTCTAGAGAGAGAGAGGCAACTTGAAGGAAAACAGAGACAGATTATCGAACAGCTTGAGAAAGATCTCGCCGAAGTACAGGGAATGGAAAAAGAGTACGAGAAACTGATTCAGAGTCAGGAAATAGATGAACAGATAGAAGAAGAAAGGGTGAAGTATAAATTTTCTTTGTACTTTTTTTTTAATGGACATCTTAGAAGAATGGTAAATCATTTTTAAATTATTTTCTGTAGCAGACAGGAACATAAAAACTGTAATGCTGAGAGCTACATTTATAAGAGTGCTCAACCCCTTTTGAATTCATGCAGGTATAAATCAATATTTATTACAGAAATTTGTTAAATTTTTGCTGATATTTAAAAAGAAAACATTACATATAATCTTGTCACATTTCAGGAATTCTGAAACTAGTGTTGTTTTTATTCGCGTACATGAAAATGAGGTTTTTGGTGCACATTTCTTTCAGGTTAAAGAGTACGATAAACTAAAACAAGAGACTGGGAAGCAGGCTGCTGTACTTCGACGGCAACTGTACGACGCTGAAAAGGAAAAGAAAGACCTACAAGACATTTTGGACAGGGAATTATGTAAGAAAGTTCATATCAGCCGTCAGCAGCAAGGGATCGGTAAAGCAATCGACAATGCAATTTTACGCTTGCAAAAAATTGATTCCTATATCAGGTATTTATAAAATTACTGTCTTCTTGTTTCTTTTCCTTCTAAATCCTACAATTTTGCACTGTAATACAAATTTATAAGTTTATTTTAAGATTTAATCAAGTTTTAGACGAGAAATTAGCCAGCGCAGAACTAAGAAACCAAGTCAGTAACATGAGAAGAGGCTATGCAATGCTACTAAAAGTTTTCAACGTGCGTTGAACTTGTTTTCAGACGTTTTTGAACGAGCGGTTTGCGTCTATCATTTTCACCTCCACAACCGTAGCAAAGGAGATTACTGTGACATCATTGGTGGTTGGTAACAAGGGTTTAAGTCAATATAAATTACCCTTCTTACTCAGCACCAACAATATTAGTCACTGCACTTGTAATTATCCAATTATTCTATAAATATTTTATTTATGTAAAACTCTTAACCTAGGGAAAAGGAAATATCTCTGCATGAAAAGAAGAAATTACAGGATAAATCAGAAACAGAAATTAACAACACTAATAAAGAAATTGAAAATGTGAAAAGAGACCTGGAGACCGTAGTGAAGCATCTGAACCAAATTAATATAGGGAGCGAACTTTTCTTAAAAGAGAAAAAGAAACAAGATGTCGTGAGGGATTTGAAGATGGCATTTGGTGATAATATTGTGAGTATTACATCACTTTTCCATATATTTATCATTCTCTCGACACATATTTTATTCAGACGTGCTAACTAGAAGAAACGTTGTACAGTGTTGCCAAAATTTCCAATGTGACTTTACTTAAATTGAACTGTAGGTAATATTTTGACATTACGGCACAATTCTTCCATCTATTTCAAGTTTCACATCTTTGTAGCAACGTAAATGTCACTATAGTTCATACCCCTACACTGAATACCCTTTAATAATACCTAATAAATGACTGAATTGCTAACATTGCTAACATCTTTATAAGTTAGCGACAACCGCTTAGTTTTATTTAATTCTTTAAATTCTAAAGTAAAATCCATTTTGTTGTTTGCAAAAGTTACTTGATTCTAGAATTTTCAAGAAACAGCTGGACAGTTGGTAACATTGGCCGGCTCATTTAAATTATTTTACAGTATATGCTTATGAACGGTACGCTTATTTCAGATTGGACGAATGTCAGATCTCTGCCAACCGATCCACGAACGTTACAAATTGGCTATTACCAAGGTAATGGGTAAAAACTTAAGTGCGTTGATCGTACAAAACAAGCAGACTGCTCTGGAAGTTATTAATTACCTTAAGACGTTGCACATACCACCCGAGATTATACTTCCACTCGATACCATTAAAGTTTATCCCATTCAAGGACGACTCAGGTATGTAAATTGAAAGCGGGGGTTAATTTATTCACAACTTTGATAACCGCTTTTTGTTTCTCCTTCATCGAAGATAAAAGATTGCAATAAAGCAGTGATCAGAAACAATTATCCTTGATATCAGAGAAATAGCTGGTGAGAACTTGCACCCAGGTGTGAAAAGGAATATAATTTGTTCCCATGAGAATTAATTTCAAATTATGCAATATATAAAAGAAGTTCCCTTGTACCTTCATGTCATAGAACTATGGGGATCATGAAGGTATACGTAAAATATATCTCTTCTGTCACACAGCACAACATTTTTTAAAAAAAATATCTGACAGTTGTTATAATAACTCTATAGTAACAAGAAGGCGACCGCCATGGTGGTCTGGCGGTCAGTGCGCTGGGCTTGTAATCCAGGGGTTCCGGGTTAGATTCCCGGATTTACAACTTGTGTTGGGCGAGGCCGTGGTCCAGGTATCACGGAGTTTTCCTCTGGGGCTTCCCCAGTTTTGCATAATAATTCTGTGTTTCATGCTTTTATGTTTTGTAAATTGCCTGAAGATTATTAAATTTTGACCAAAACATGTCTCTAAAGTTTGTTCTGTGTGATGTAAGCGATATATATACCTTAGCACTAAGTTTAATGAGTACTGTATAGTCAAGTGCTTTCTAATGGTAGTTCATCGTAATTCATTAGCTGGGATTTAGATGTTTGACTCTGATTTGTGTTTGTCCAGGAATCTCAGTGTACCATCTGGGGAGAATGTGAAGTTGTTGTATGACGTGATTCACTGCAGTACCCCAGTTATGGAGCCAGCTGTCAAATTTTCTGTTTCAAATTGTCTCGTGTGTGAGACTGCAGATACTGCAAGATATTTGGCTTACGAGATGGACTCCACAGTGAAGTATAACGTATGTTTATTTCTTAATGCGGGTGTCCCTGTGGCGTCAGGTGCCTTTCCGTAATTCAGAAACAGCACGTCTTTAACTTATGCTGTCTTCTTTTTCCAAACAAACATCGATACAATACATACATCTGAATGTCTTGCAGGCTGTTTCTTTGGATGGCACCTATTATCATAAGGGAGGCATAGTGTCTAGCGGAAAAGCGAGCTTGCAACAGAAAGCAAAGCGTTGGCTGGGACAAGAAATTCTTGAAGCACAAAATCGGAAGGTACGTAAAGTAGGATTTCGAGGTTCTCATGGCGGTGAGTACGACGATGGCCGTCTTCTGAGTTGTAGTGCCACATGATCCAGGCGAATCTTATCAACGTACCAGAGGTCCTCGCTGCCTCCGTCATCACGGCAGTGAGGAAGGCATGTCAGTATATTCTGTTTATTAAATAAAAGAATTTATGACTCGCATTACGATTTCTGCAGACAAAACTGCGTGAGAAGTTACAAGAGTTACAGAAGCGATGCAGAATGGCACCAAACGCAAGAGAGACTTCTGACGAAATATGCAGCCTAGAGACGCGAGTGAAATATGCGAAGGAGGATAGGAATAGAGTGGTGAGTTGACAGATGTATCTGGTAGAATAAACAGATGCAATGAGGTATTTTGCGTAGTCACGAAAAAGTTGAACAAATTTTGTAAAATAATTTGATTTCCAAGGTTTTTTTCATCCTCCGTTCATCTTATGTGTGTGTATGAAAGTCCCAGATGAAATATTTAAGGACAGATGAGGAGAGATATCCAAAAATTTATTTGGCATGAGAGAGGCGTGAGGAAAATAATGATTGGACCAGTGACGAGGAGCTGTCTGATAATACAGCCTTCTGTATTGTTCTATAACAAAGGGAATCTCCTTTTTTTTTTTGTTAGTTTATATATTTTTTTTTATTCTGTGGCACGGCAGCTGGGGCAGACTAAAGACTATGTGCCATATTGTGATGGATAATCAAAGTCTGCGTGTACATTCTTTATTGCACGCTACTCTTACAGAACATTAAATGATGTATTTAAGCGTTGCCGTCACAGAGTGAAATATTTGTATTTTTGATCATCATTTATGGGCAAAAAGGCCATAATCTTGTTACCTTCTTTGCAGTCAGAAAAAGTCATAGAACTGCAGTCACAATTGGAAAGATTGAACGCTCAGTCCGCAGACGTTGACGTAAGTTGCCGTACTTCTTTCACAAAATGTATTTATGGCAGAAGATACTTTATATCGCAGTGTTTTAACAGTCTGTCATCATATCTTGTGGTAGTCTTTGATTGCAGACCTTGAACAAAAAATGCTGGATCATTCTAACGAGAGACAAACAATTCAAAATGAGATGAACTTACTCGAGGATGCTGTATTCGCTGATTTCTGCGACAAGATCGGCGTAGCAAATATTCGTGAATATGAGGGAATCGGTCTCAGGTAATTAATATATGATTTTAATTTACTTATTTATGTATTTGTTAATAACATTCTGTATGTATTGAATAGATGACACAGTGCAGCGTGAATAAATGTTCATCAGTATAAATTATATTTTTGCAAACGAGTACAAATTAAATGCTTTATTCTATTCCACAGATCATACAAAGAAAAAGCAGAGAAGAGAATTGAACTGTCTTCACATAAGCAGAATATTATGACCCAGCTGCAGTACGAACATGAGAAGCGTACGGCTAGTACGTATTTTAATATTACTTGAAGTGTCATTCACTTTATTATATGGATGAAATGTATGTAATGTAATCCACGCAAATAAAGTAAAGTTGGCTGAATTTTGAATTTTAGGAAATGGAATGCTAAAAAAGGAGCAGGAATTGAAGGAACTTGAAGGTAAATTGGAATCAGAGAAATGTAACGTGCAGGAAAGTGAGGAAGACAAAGCCAATTACAAACAAAAGTTTGAAGATCTTAAATTAAAGCTGGAGAGCACGAAGGAGACGTTCCTTTCTGCCGAAAAGGAAGTAACCAAGGTGCGCTGTTTTCTTGTTAATTTTTTTAATTACAGCTATTATAAATCTCTAATTTAGAAACTAAACTATTTGAGGGTAAGTTGGTATGGTGAAAACTTGTCGCCTCACAAGGAAGAGGAGGCGTCCTCGAAGGCTGGTCGAGCGGAATTCCTAAATAAACTGGTGCAGGTACCACAGAGGTGTACTACGCAGCTATCGGCCGATAACCAATAATATGGAAAATTAATGACTCCTACGAATGCACAGAGTAATCAGATTGGGCAATCTGTTTAACCTTTGAATGGGTCTAATTGGCTTAAACCTTGTAACGAAGAATAATAATTTCAATACATGTTTACTGCTTGTTAAGAGGTTAAATAAGAACACTTGGGACATCATCATATCAACTTTACAGTTAAATTTAAATGTTTACGTGTGTTGTCTGTGTGCAGGCTAAAGATGATGTGAAGACACTTGCAGAAGATATAAAGGAGGGGTCATCGCAGTTGAGCAGTATGAGGCTGAAGAGTGAAAATTTGAAATATGAACGTCACACTCTTCTATTACAGTGCAAGGTGGATTACCATTTCAGTAATTAATATAACACATTTATCAGTCGCAGTCACTTACATACAATATAGCAGGAGCTTTGAGCAATTTTCCTTACGACTGAGCAATGCGAAACTGAAGGTTTAAAACTTGACAAATTATGGAAATATCCAAAAAATGGGGTGTTATTTTATGGAAGTATCCAAAAAATGGGGTGTTATCTTATAGAAGTATCCAAAAAATGGGGTGTTATCTTATAGAAGTATCCAAAAAATGGGGTGTTATCTTATGGAAGTATCCAAAAAATGGGGTGTTATTTTATGGAAGTATCCAAAAAATGGGGTGTTATGTTATGGAAGTATCCAAAAATGGGGTGTTATCTTATGGAAGTATCCAAAAAATGGGGTGTTATTTTATGGAAGTATCCAAAAAATGGGGTGTTATTTTATGGAAGTATCCAAAAAATGGGGTGTTCCAAAAAATAATGGGGTGTTATCTTATGGAAGTATCCAAAAAATGGGGTGTTATCTTATGGAAGTATCCAAAAAATGGGGTGTTATCTTATGGAAGTATCCAAAAAATGGGGTGTTATCTTATGGAAGTATCCAAAAAATGGGGTGTTATCTTATGGAAGTATCCAAAAAATGGGGCGTTATCTTATGGAAGTATCCAAAAAATGGGGCGTTATCTTATGGAAGTATCCAAAAAATGGGGCGTTATCTTATGGAAGTATCCAAAAAATGGGGTGTTATTTTAGATGAAGTTATGACATTTCTTACCACAACTGGTAACGTAACTTGTACCCACTTAACGCTCTATGTAAGGACAGAGACTAATTGGTAATGGCTCATTATTCTGCAGAATTATTCGTAAATTTTAAATTGGTTGTTGCGCTATGTAGTATGGTAGAAATTTACTGATGTTTCAGAGGAGCATACTGCCTCCACCCTCGGAGGAAATGAGTACCCCCTTCATTTCCCCATGTACTTTATATTTAATTCAATCTGTTTTTCATGATCTTCACTGTTGGTCTTCTGTTGGCTCTTATGAGGGCTGTTTCTTATCTTCTTAGCATATCGGCCCCATCTCCGTATTCCCTGGTAGTCATTTATCTGTGACTACTTTGTGGGGTATCTGAGAAGGCTTCGTCTTCTTACTAGATCCAGATATGTTACCTATTAATTAGATGTTCATATCTGCTCAGGTTCAGGGACTGAATATTCCCATGACGCAGGGGACGATGGCTGACATTCATGAATCATCCTTTAATGAAAGCTTTTCTTCCTCACAAGGAATGGAACAAGACGAGAAAAGGTATGATTCTGTTTTAACTCAAAAAAGAGTTTTCATGGTCCCTTTTAATATTATCAGTTATGTAAAAAATAGTTTGTATCTTCACCTTCCATTGGATTAATATTATTTTAAATCTTGTATCGTTAACTGTTGTGTCACCATTTAATTTAAATGTGTTTCAATGCACGTCCTGAACAAATGCGGATAATCTGCATTAATCAATTCACGTACTTCGTATGACTGGAATATCATAAAATCTTTTCATTTGCAGGATTATAATTGATTATGCTCGGCTTTCGGAGAGCTATAAAGAAGCGAGCGACGTTAAAAAGGTAGTGAGACAGTTGGGTCTGAATATTGAAGACACGATGTTTAAAATTAGGTCTGCAAATCCTAATATGAAGGTAATATTTTATGACAATTAAATATTCTATATTTTTCTTCTAAACTGGGTCTGAGGCATGGGCCTTGTGCCACTTGGTCACTGGGACCGTGGGTTCAAATCCCACTCAAGCCATGGATGTTTGTCCTCGTTTTTCTGTGTTGTGCTGTCCAGTGTACAGGTAGAGGCCTTGCGACGGGCTGATCCCTTGTCCAAGGAGTCCTACCGAATGTCTATAGAGCAAAGCCAATGAAAAGTTGTTACCCGCAGTGCTCAGGCACTTAAAGAACGGGTCGTCAAAGTATCCCAGTATCTTTTAAACCTAGAAGATTTTTTGTTTCGTTCAGTATCACTCAAATGGTTGGTAATATTCCGGTCTGCCAGGTAATGATGTAAAGTCCCTTACAGGTGAGCGTTAGCATAGTTCTGGAATACTGTGATTGGAATTTGAATATGAGATGATTTTACGCTACACTTACCTACTGAAGTGAACAAAATTCAACTTTAATATTATGCTCAATATTTCAAATGACGATTTAGGTGGTCGACGAGTTTGACGCCATACAGTCAGCGTTAAAGAATATATGCTCAGAAGCCGAATCAGCAGTGAAGATTCTGCGTCATGATGGGCACAGATTTAAGCAGATCAGAGATGATCGCACACACAAATTCATGGAATGTTTTAATTTCCTGGAAACTGAGGTTGATAATGTCTATAAGGTAAATTTTTCAAGTATGTAGTTGTTATGTAGTGTCTGCATGTTTAGAACGTGTTATACCTTCTTCTTCTTCTTCTTCTATGGCTCTCTGATCCGTGTTCAGTCCACGGCCTCCTCAGTTCTCCTCTTCCATTCGGTCCTATCCTCCGCTGCCTTCTTCAAATTCCTAATCCTCATTAGCAGTGTGGCATCCCTTTGAACTGCATCCTCCCATCTGTTCTTGGGTCTTCCAAATGGTCATCTTCCTCCGACACTTCCTTTGAATACCATCGTTGGAATTCGGATGTCGTCCATCCGAATCAGGTGACCTACCCATTGAAGTCTATTAATTTTTATAAATTGTGACAATGGTAAGTCTAAATATAATTTAAAGATTTCCTGATTAGTTTTTATCCTCAATTCACCTGCGTCTTGTGTTGGGCCGAAAATTTTCCTCAGGATTTCCCGTTCAAACCCACGTTTCACTCCCGTATGTCATTACGCTACGGATGAGAGTTTTATATAAAGTGATTTTCACTTTCTTACTCATTCCATAAAATTCTATCAGTGGTAATATCGAGAAAAATGCTTTATTGGCAGCTTGAATTCTGCTTTGTATTTATACCACTTCCACATTCTTATTTGTTATGAATACTCCCAGGTATGTGAATCTTCGCACCACTTCTATTTCACGTTCCTTAATCTTTATATGATGGTCTAATAATCTTCTTCTTGTTTGTATTAAGGCTTTTGTTTTCCTTGTGATAATTTGTAATCCACTTCAACTATTCTTTGACTGATCTTAACGATTTTCCCAAAATATTTACGTCATCCGCGTACCCAACTATTTGTACCATTTTACGAGGCGCGTCCACAAAGTAAGTTTCCCACTCGTCCCACAGCTAGCAAACCTTATATTGCGCGAAGCGACTGTGCGTACGTGATAGAGCAATGACGTAGCATGGCCCATGCACTAACGGTACTTCCCGCGTTCTCACAGTAGCATCGTTGCAGCTGTTGAAGATGGAGGTTCTTATTCCAGCTCCCGCCGACTGTGAAGTGCGGTCAGTGATAACGCTAGGCCGCACACGACTCGACGGACAGCAAGTCTCCTGCAGAAGTTCAGCTGGGAGGTGTTTAATCATTCACCCTACAGCCCGGACCTCGCTCCCAGTGATTTCCATCTTTTCCTACACCTCAAGAAATTCCTGTCCGGTCAGCGTCAGCGTCAGCGTTTTGAGAATGAAAGAGAGGCGGAGATGGTTGTCACACAGTGGTTCCAATCCCAGGCGGCAGACTTCTACGACACAGGTATTCAAAAGTTGGTCCCACGGTATGACAAATGTCTCAAATCCGGTGGCGAATATGTTGAAAAATAGCTAGACACTTGCTGTATCTGTTGCAATAAATATTTACATGAAATTGTGTTTTGTTTCTGTAAACGGCCCCAGGGAAACTTACTTTAAGGACGAGCCTCGTACTTCAGAGTTCCTGTCAGAATAATACAGGCCTACTAACCTTTCCAGTTTGAGTTTTGAGCACAACAGCATGTCCATCCACACTACTAGAGATAAGCAAGTTGTTATCAGGATGGCAGTCCATGTCAGTAATTGTACCAGTGTGAGCTTGTCCTTGAGGTACGTGGTGTAATACTGTCGCAGTCTTTGTGTCAAATATTTTAAGTGAGCCATCTGCATAACCTATCGCCATACGTTTGCCTGGAAATTAAAAAAATTTACATCTTAATTTCATTCTCTCTACTTCGTATTTCATGACGTAAATGGCAAGGTAAAAAAATTCCACCTGGGATATTATCAGAACGTTTACAGTACCTGCTGCACTTATTTCTCAAATAATTACTCAAATAATGACCATACAAAATTTCATTCAAATCCGTCCCATGGTTTTTGAGTTGAACCACGCGGATGACAGACAGACATGATCAGCCCATCATGCAAAGGACACATAAAAAGCAACTTATAATGATAATGGCTGGCATACTTGTACATTCTGCATGAAGTGCCCTTCCAAATTATGGGGATCTATTTCCTTTATATTATACACAAAATCCTTTCATTTCTTCAGTTTTCACAGTTTCTATGCAAGGAACATACAAAAAAATAAAAAGAGGACATAAAAATCCACGTACTGCCTGACAGCAAAGTCATAATTTTATTATAAATTGCATACCATCAGGCAACATGAGTCCACAGTCTGCTTTGTCACCATGGCCAGGCAACACTTTGCATTCTCCTCCTGGAATTCTCCACACGTATACCTCCCCCGACTCAGTTCCAGCTAGCAAGACATTTGCTCCGTGATGCCACCTCAGCCACTGCAAACAGTGCATGACTGCAAGACAGAGTCTTATTTAAACGTTGCAGCCAAGTGGTTAGTACTCCTGCTTCATATTCAGGAGGTCCCAGGTTCAAACATCAGCCTGGAGATGACTATCCAGGACTGAGGTTTCCCAGTCCCTCCATGAAACTGGCGGAAAAGTACCTTAATTTAAGCTACGACCTTTCCAATTCATTTATCATACATTATTTGATGCTATATAGTCAGGAGACAATCCAAGAAGAATTAACATTTCACAATGAGACCAGGAAAATAATTAAATAAGGATTTTACAGTAAATAAATGTAATGTTAATTACCACAAGCTTATTACATTATTAAGTAAATCCACTAACATTTATTTATTTTAATTATGTATATGGATCATTTAATGATGCTGTCAGTAGCTCAAACCACATAACAACAAATGACAGAATGATTAATAAATAATACATTGCAAAGGATTTGGAAATAAGTGGTTATGGCTGCATTTAAGGTTCAATCCCAGTATTTGGCTGAAGGGATAAAGATAAACCGTGAAAAACCTCAGACACAGTAACATGTTTCCAGATTGTTGTTTTTACCTGGAACTTCCTGAACAAGAAGCATGACTGCTAACCACGTGGCTGTGATGTTCAGTACTTATAGTTGGAGTACATAAACACCACAATTTCACTGCACAACACCCATTTCTATTCAATTTTACAACATCCAGTGCCACTACTGTGGTTCTGCAATATGTTGCTTCATTTGTTTGATTTTCTATACACAAATACAACTCATAATGTAAACGTAGTATTACTTACAGTCAGGTCGCCAATACATGTTTCCCATACTTGTAACTTGTTAGCTATTTTCCATACTTGTATGACACCACTCATGTCTCCAGTTGCAACGTAAGACCCATCATAGTTGAATCTAACACAGGTCACAGAGTCCTGTACACGACACAGTGAAATATCGTATCAGAGAAAATCTTCCTGACTACTCTCACGCAATATCTGATCATATACAACACTGCATTCTTCAAAGAGTCATACTTTCCCCATTATTTTTTACACAAAAACTGACACTCATCAAAGGCAAATTTCAAAATGTAAGGAAAAAGTAATAAAGTATTACTTAATAATCCTTCAGTGCACCATAGAAATTCACTCTATCTTGACATTATCAGACTAGTTAATTTGAATACTCTTTCTTACATAAATGTTAAGGTTATATATAGGACAGTTAGCTCATGAATCAACACAACCACAGTCTAATTCACATACGAAATCAAAAATTAGATTATCATCATGGTTCTATTGCTGAAATGGGCAGGAAGATTTCCTATACATCAGATGTAATGGTTGTAACACCACAACTTCATTGCCACAATAACAAGGTGAACCATGCGTAAGTCAGGTAGACATTAGGCAGAAGAAGCTGTATTTTGCACATCCTATCTATGCACTCTAAGGCTTTTGAGGCAAAAAGGTTAATATTTATCTATTCTTCATCTATTCAAAGACATTTTCAATTGCTAAGCTTATATAGCATCAAATTATGATTAGTGAATAATTAACTGTAGAGGATGTGAAAGGAACTGGTAATGGTCTAATTTAATGTTATGTCCTGGAATTTACCTGGAGAGACTAAGGAAAACCAAGGAAAACCTTAGTCAGGTCAGTCAGTCTCCAGACTAAGATATGAACCTTGAGCACAAGCTGAAACCAATCACCAACAATATTCAGTTACTTTATACAAGTAAACTGATATTGAAATTCTACTGTCATTCTGTTTACTCATTATTATACTGAATGAATTACAAATATAATGCCCACCTTGTGGCCCTTGCATTGTAACACTACTTCTCCTGAATGTGTTTCCCAAACATATGCCATATCATCCTCTGCTCCAGTCACAGCCAATCTGCCAGCCTTTGGCTGTAAATGGCAGCAAAACACAGAACCTATGTAAGAAACATTTGCTTCAATAATATATACTCGGAATAAGGCAAAGAAATAGATTTATCACAACATTCCACTTCAAGATAATGCACATACAGATTTTACATAAACTCAGGCATGTGGTTTCCATTACAAGATATGTGCAACCAAACATTTCCTGCTGTGGGAAACAACTACATTTGTAATCTGTGTTGACAAACTTAAAAAAGAAAGTACCTTGTCACATGTAAGAAACAAACAGGTCTGGGACAGAATATAATAAGTATTCAACATGCACATTGTATTTCAGTTTTAACTGCTGTCATTATCATTATTATGTTGAAAATCAACATGCTGCTTTTAGAAATATTGCTACTAGATGCAAATTTCAATTTGAGAAGGTGATAAGCACAGTATACTGGCTAGGTCACACCTCTCTCCTCATTCCATCACTAAATATCCAGCAGATATTTTGGACATCAATGTCTTCACATCCACCTGGCACAGTTTAACCTTTATGATAAGAAAGTACCAACCTTTATGATGAGAAAATACAGATGCTGAATCATCCCTCACAGGGTTATTTCCTTCAGAATTTTCACTGCCTTCTAAGCCTATGCCAATATCTTCATCACTTGCATCATTTGCTTCTATGTAATTATTGCTACTTGCAGCTTCACCATCAATAACCTCCTCAACTTCATCTTCAAACAGTTCATTATAATCCATTGTTTCATTGCTACATGGAGATGTTGGTGGTGTGTCTTTCAACTGCATCAGTCACAAACTAAAACTAAAATACTTTACATAAACACATATTCATTAAAGAAAGCTTTAGGTTTGTGCAATGGCACTCATCTACGTTATAAATTGATATAAAATCAATATGCTCATAGAATAGAACAGAATATATTTACATTGCATAGATCCTTCATAGTTCAAGCCAAGGATGTTGAACATAATACAAATACAATAATTAATCGCAGTGCAAATACCATCACTACACAGCTGTTAATTCTATTTACATATATATTTACGGAATTTACGAATTTCCAATTGATAAATTCTTCTGTGTAAGAAATAAATATTAAACCCATCAGAGCTTAACGACTTATGTCTTATTATTAACTTATCAAAACATTAGAAACAAACGTAACATCCCAACTATCTTACTTTTAAAAGAAACAGCTATAAACCATTATCTAAACAATAACTCTCATATAGTCATCAGCGTTAGTAGTAACAGCGACAACAGTCAGGTTGATAACCAATGGCTTTGACAAACTGATTTTCTATAACACTTACATTATTTAATTTCATAAAAAATGTATCCACCAAACAATCACAAATTCCTTCAAATCATATAATTATAATAAATACACGAACTATTATAAACACACGATCAGTACCATCTACCATCACAAAAACAGGAAACCAACCTGCGTTAAAACATTTCCACGAAAGACTTCCAGGTTGTGACTCCATGAGGACTTGTAGTTTGGCAACCGTGGTTGGCGAGTCCAAACAGCGTCACAACCCAAAAGACCACCGTGGACTTGAAGGGCTTCACGGCGGTGCTGGGTTGTAGCACCGTGGAGTCTGATAGCTTACCAATGTGTCAGCACTATTTGCTGTCCCCCATCATCATGCAGGCAGCAAGTATATCTAAAGCGTTGGTAAAGGTCTATAACACTACACTATAACCCACAAGACACCGTGGACATTTTCACCGCAGCAAAATTTTTAAATTGCAACCGAAAATTATTATTCCAATGACATACGTATATGTACATACTTGCTAACAACAAATTGCTGGAGGAGCAAACATGTAACGTTATTTACAATTTCTTAGATGAATTAGTTGTTTCTCTCTACAATTTTCACAACATTCTTCATGTGGTACAGACTTAAAATAAATATCATCCTTCCTTTCAAATTCAGTTACAATATTCTGAGCACTAAAATATACAAAACAACAATTGTGCCCGTTGTTTTGTGTGGGTGTGAAACATGGTCTTGCAGTCTGAGTGAGGAACATAGATTGCAGGTGTTTGAGAATATTTGGGCCAAGGTGAGAATAGGATGGGGTATGGAGAAAACTGCATGATGAGCTAAAAAATTTGTACTCCTCCACTATTGTCAGGGTGATTAAGTCAAGAAAAATGAGATGGGCTAGGCATGTGGCACGCATGGATGGCCAAGAGGTGTGCACCTTTGAATACCATCGTTGGAATTCGGATGTCGTCCATCCGAATCAGGTGACCTGCCCATTGAAGTCTCTTGATTTTTATAAATTGTGATAATGGTATGTCTTTATATAATTTATAGATTTCATGATTAGTTTTTGTCCTCCGTTCACCTGCTTCTCGTGTTGGGCCGAAAATTTTCCTCGGGATTTTCCGTTCAAAGAGGTCCATATTATCTGCTGCGTTCTGGTCGAGTACCCATGTTTCACTCCCGTGTGATATGCTACGGATGAGGAGTTTTATATAATGTAATTTTTACTTTCTTATTTATTCCATGGAATCAGTGGTAATATCGAGAGATGTGCTTTATTGGCCGCTTGAATTCTGCTTTGTATTTCTACCATTTCCTCATTCTTATTTGTTATGCGTACTCCCAGGTAAGTGAATCTATTTCATAGAACATGTTATATGTGTTTTAATATTAATCTATAAAAATTTGTTGTTAAATTAATTTTAATATTTTTGAAGTACAAGATGCCAATTTTTGTACATACAGAAACTGTATGAGGCTCAGAATGGAGAGGCCATTCTGACATTGGAAAATGCAGAAGAGCCTTACCTTGCAGGGGTGAGGTACAGCGTACAAGTTCCGGGCAAGAAATGTGTCGCGATGGATTGTCTTTCTGGTGGCGAGGCTGCAATGGCAAGCTTGGCATTTATGTTTGCTTTAAACAGGTAATGATTCAACCAGTGGTTGACGGAATCGGTATAAAGAACCGGAAGATGTTTTGATTTGTCTTTGATATCTTTTTGTTATTAACAGCTAATTTCTTTAATCACTTATAATATTTAAAGACTTTTAATTCCGAAGATTGACGTCTTCTGGGTTGTTGCGCCATTTCAGAGGTCCTTGCTGCCTCCATCATCAGGGCAATTTGGAGGCTACACTTCACTACCTTTGAAGATTTTAAACCCTCACACCACTCAATACCCTGATGGTGGAGGCAGCAAATATATCTGATATGTCAGTAAACCTTTAACAGACTGTACAGCAGAACATCCTAAAAGACATCTTCAATCCGAATAATCTTTCTGATAGCTTTGAATGATACAAGATGATTGAAAAATAATTTCGGAAATTAAGTTTTATAAATGCATTTTTGTAACATTAAAACAGACCTCTTATCCAGTGGGGTGCCAGTATTTTCGCCAGGATAAACGCCCTAATTTATTTTCAAATTGCATTCCAACATTAAAGTGGAGGTTACAGTTGACAATATGTGAGGTTATGTTCGGTATATTACTAGAATAGCTACTGTGTTTTGTTTTCATGTTCCTTACAGATACAGAAAAGCACCAATCATAATTCTTGATGAACCAGATGGATCACTTGACCAGAGAAATGTAATGAGATTTGCAAAATTTTTGAAGCAAAATAACCATTCGCAGATAATCGTCATTACACATCGCTATCGAAGCGCTTATGCTGTAGTAGCGGATGACGTCACTGGCGTAGTGAAAGAGGTAGGACTGAGTGCGAATCTCTGAATAATGCTGCTTTCGTATTCTCAAGTCTAAACAGAATATCCTTCGCAGAATTTTTGTGACAGTCAACAACATAGAGGAAGAACTTTTACCGATTTTATCGAAATATTTACTAATATATTTATTTATTTTTTCAGACTGAAAATGGTTTAACAGTCAGTAAAATGAATATTGTGGATCTCGCTGAGTATCAGATGCCTGACGAAGAAATGTAGAATGCTAATGTTATATTAAGTTAAAAATATAAGTTGAAAAATGTCTTCCAAAGTCTGACGTACCTTATTTTGATGCAGTAGTGAGATAATGCTAATATTTAAGCAGAAATATTAATTAAAGGTAGAAAATATAGTTTTCATATACGTTTGAGTGTGTGGAATACTTTTGAATTTTACCAGGTGTTATTGAATGATCCTCTTAAAGAAACAGTAATGCAGCCATTTCAAACTCACATATTGATATAATTGATATACAACATACTCAGGATGTAAATATAATTGAGAAGAATCTTCAAAATATTTGTCCATAATAAAATCACTATAATCAATAAATAAATCAAAAGAAGAAACTGGTTTGTTTATCAGCAAAAAAAAAAGATAAACACAAAATATATCGGAAGATAATAAATTGTTTGCTTCTGCGTTGCAGTGTGTTAATATATAACGTCAACATGATAACATAATGGCGGTATAATTGGTGTAATGTAACTTTTATATCGTACACATAACCGCGTTATAACTACGTATAAAAGTAATCTGTTCTAAATGGTTCTGATACAATCGATAATCTCACGTTATTAAATTATAACATCAGATGATAGTCAAAGTTCAAAAACACAACAGTTCAATGACGTCACGATATTTGCTGATACTAACACATTCTATATCATAAAAATTCTATAGAAGGATCATTCGATTAATTTGCAACCATAAATAACTCTTGTTACGCAGATTAAAATCTTGAATCAGAATAATTATCCACAGTATATACAAAATAACGTCTTGGCTTCACGTCCAAAACTTAATATTGCCAAATAGGATTTTAAGTCGCTGGATAAACTTTGTTATAATATAATACAATATATAACTAGCCGTTTTCAAATTACAACTTTAAAACTGATATTAATCTATTGTGATTCACGATAAAACAGCTGGAAATCACGTTTTCAATAAAATAACTTTATTCCATTGTTATGCATGTTCAAGTTTGATTTGTTTTCTAGTAGAAATTTGTTATAAAGATGTTCCTTTGTTATGATAAAATTATTTCCATTGTTGTGTCATGTATTTCAATGATTCTGTTTTACGTTTTTGTTCCTATTAACAAACATATTCTTTTATTTCCCATTCTCCAAGGAAATATAAAACAAAAATAAATCAAAATAATGATTATAAATGTTCACAGTGAATACTGATTACTAAAATGGGGAAGTGAAGTTTAAAATATTTCTTAAAATTCAGTGTTCTTTATTTATTATACTGTATTTAATGTTTAACGTGAATAAAAATCTTATTGGCCAAAGAGTTGATTTAAGAACGTGATAAAACTTAACTTTTATTGCACAGGGTAGGAAACCTAACCAATTCCCTGATTATCCTGAGGTGTCCTGGAATGACGATATTTAACACAAAAGGAAACAAAAAAGAACTGAGTTTATTTGGGACAATATTTTTCTTGTGTTCTGTTATTTCTAAACCGAGTTAATTCAGGCTATAAATAAAATACGCAACAAGGACTATCTATCTCGAAAGTTTGTTCAGGTTTACATTAGACCAATATTTTTCCATTTCACATGGCGGTACATGTGAGGATTAATCGAATTTCACGAATCGTCACCCTGTCACATGGCGGTACATGTGAGGATTAATTAATCCCGCAATTAACTTCTGTTCTGTATCATATTATAGTAAAACCACAAACGTACAGGATGAAGTGTTCCTGTGTCTTAATACTGCCATATAAAGACGTACAAGTGGCACGAGTCTGAAGTTCAGCAACATTTGCTGATGTCGGAGATGAGTGATCAGAATAATGCTCTAGGCGAGTGGTTTTCAACCTGGGGTACGTGTACCCCCGGGGGTACGCGAAGACATCTTATGGAGTACATGAAATTTAATAAAAATATATATTATTTTATGATAAACACTGAATAATCAGTAATGTAATTTATTTAATTTATTTTAGATGTAGATTATATACTATGTATAACTTGAATTATACACCAATAACTTTGGGGGTACAAAGTTGAAGAGAAATTATATCTGGGGGTACGCGAACAAAAAAGGTTGAATACCACTGCGATAGATTACACTTGAATTTCGAGGGAAGCCTTTTAAAATTGCAATTACACATGCTACATAAATTTCCACTTGTTACATCACGTCGTTGTTAATTATTAGAGCACAAATATGAACCACGCCTAGACGCGTGAACATTATCAGCAACATATTTTATTGCAATCATATTATTCTGTGAAATTTAATTACTTTGCTTTATTTGTAATATATGTAAATTATAATCAAATTTAAAATAACTACGAAAGAAAATACAGTATATGGCTCCCTCAATCGTCACAAATATCTTCAAGAAACTGATACTGAACAATTCGTATGCCCTCACACCTACGCATGCGCACTGATGGCCGCGTAACCATCTGTCACTAGATGGTTGCTGGTACATCTCGATAGCGCTGTATGTTAGCGTGGTTGTCCTTGAGATAGTACGCGCACAGATAATTGTTGTTGTGGAAAACAGGGTTCGAAAATGTAGCGTATTGAAGAAAATTTATTCATATACGACATTCTTCATGGAGAATATTTCATAGAAAATTTCATAGGAAGTATCCTGTCATGTAAAGCAACGATTTACAATATTTTAACAAAATTATGTTCTGGACTAAAATAAATCTCGAAATTGTTACGTAAACAGCCAAAATAACGGAGCTTTTATAAAGAGCTTAAAATAATTAGGTCTGTTCTAAAAGGTTTAGTCACTGATGTGTTTTATATTAAAATATCTATCTACGTAAATTCTTATCCTATTATTATATTTAGTGTTCTGTCTGACGACAGGTCCATATGAACAGGATCCTTCCATCCTTTTCTCGGACTGGGACCTGTTCATATACGTTCTTGGCAGATGATCCAGAAGTGGTTTGCCATTGCCTTCTTCTGTGTGTGAATGGAGTAATTGTTGGGATGCCACGGAGGAAAACTCCGTGTTGCCTAGACCACGGCCTTGCCCAACACAAGTTATAAATTCGGGCACCGCCGGGAATTGAACCCGAGACCCCAGGATTACAAGGCCAGCGTTCTATTTTGAGGAATCTTTGTGCATTCCTGAACACACATAAACCGTACAAGAAATAACAGACACAAGAACTAACGAACGAAACAAAGGCGTACAAAATAACAGCATTTATACAGCATATTATTTTAATATAAGGCGCAGAAAATTTCCCGTCATTAATTAAATCAGATAATTCATTCACTTATTCGCAAGAAATTGCCACTGCTCGTTATTAACCATATTTTATCAAAACTAATTTTAATGTTATCCTTTCACCTACGTGTAGGTCACTTAAGTAGTCTCCCCCCCCCCCAGGGTTTTGCATGGACAAGGTTAGAAACCGGTGGTGAACACAGTTTTGAAACTTCGGGCTCCATAAAAGGCAAGGAATTTCATGACAGGCTAAACGACTAGAAGATTCTCAACTAGGGTTCTACTCCGTGGAGTTAGTTTCAGTTTGTAACCCTTGAAATTGCTCTATTAAGATACTTGCTATTATCTCTGTTGTAGTCGTTCTGATTGGCTTACTTACCACTTACAGCCTACACATATTTATATTTAATTTATTTTTATTATTGTATTATTAATATTTTTGCTAAATAGTTCCTAATATATCTGTCTGAATTAAAATATTTAATAAGGCTTTACTTCGTTTTCACTATAACTTTACATTGTTTAATTTTCTGTTATTAGAATTACCATAATAAAAAGTTCATTTATTAAAACTTTAAATCTGATTCGTAAACTATATTTCCATCTGTTTCAACAGCCACTCTCTCATTTTTTATGGTTTTCGTATGCTTTTCATAGTAAACAACCTTAATATCCTTTAACAGCGTTAACCATTTGTTCTTTGTAATGGTGAAGTATTGTGTTTTCTTTGAGGTACGGACTGAATTCTTAAATAAGATTTAGCTTCGGTTTCAATGAACGCGGTAGTCCCATAGGATTCCCTAATTTGATCGCTATGGCTCTCATGCGACCCTCCAGATTTAAATTAATCAGACGTTACCCCTTACTGTATAGACCACTACATTACTTAATTAAATTTTCAAAATTATAACATCAACACTCATTCGGCGTAAAAGGATTAATTTAAATAATGTGTTCACAAACTTTTCCACTCTAATTCCTGACAGAACAGAACTGTCTTGCGACCTCGACTGTGAAGTTTATCTAAAAATTTACTGAAGAGACAGCAATTTAGCCCAGTACACTGTTACTAGGTTAAATTCAAGGGTTCTTAAGGTTATCCTGTGAAGCTATGAAATAATGTCATTCTACCATATCGAAAATTTTGCTGAAGTCGTCGCTGATATTAAGATTTTTACTTACACTCACAGTGCATAAATATTCATCGTATAATTCTTGGTAAAGTCCCTGTACATTTTGGTTTTGAAGCAAGGTTAAATTCTGGGTGTGATTGTGACGGTGGAAATATAAAATCGCCTTGTCTGTAGGCCGTCATTTTACACGTCACATGAATTCCGCTGAACACAAAATAAGTATTAAGTAGAATTTTATTCTTAAACAGAAACTGTCTATCCCTTTTTTTTATTATTTGTAGTGTTCTGTCTGACGACAGGTCCATATGAACAGGATCCTTCCATCCTTTTCTCGGACTGGGACCTGTTCATATACGTTCTTGGCAGATGATCCAGAAGTGGTTTGCCATTGCCTTCTACTGTGTGTGAATGGAGTAATTGTTGGGATGCCACGGAGGAAAACTCCGTGTTGCCTAGACCACGGCCTTGCCCAACACAAGTTATAAATTCGGGCACCGCCGGGAATCGAACCCGAGACCCCCCAGGATTACAAGGCCAGCGTTCTAACCGCTAGACCACCGTGGCCCTCCTATCCCTATTAGAGAATATAATTTACTGCAAAGTTATGGTAGTTCATAAAGATTCTATTAATTTAGGAAGTCTATTTCGAGTCCATGAAAACCCATATTATTTTGGATCCCACAAAAAAATATGACCTCTTTCAATACAGAAATTATTTACAGAAAATCACTGAACAACAAGACATTATTAGGCTTTTATTAATTATTTCAGAAACTGGGCCCGATCGACGAAATTAAAACCCACGGAAAAAGTGTGAACTTTAAGATTACATTCTGCTATTGTATGCTTCAATAGATTCCATTCGCAAAATCGACATAAACTTGAGTAAAATAATATCAAATTTAATTATCTCACACGTGATTTCACTTAAATAAAAAGCATGAAATTCAAAACTAGACAGTAAATAAACCTAACAAACAACCAGGAACTCAGACTGCTGTAGTTATGGAACTAAGTTGTCCGACTGAGTGCTGAAATCCATAATTTGCTCCACGTGTCATTATTACGTCACGGGTCAATGAGTTAGATGATACCTCGTCGCTAATGCATGCAAGGTTACAAAGCTGCCCGGTATTGATTACTGTTCCAATCAAATAGCATTTATTGTAATTTTTAATTAACTTCTGACATTAAATAACTCCCACTTTAAAGTAAGGAATGTGCAAAATATTACATTAATTTATTTAAAAAAAATTCTTTCAAACTCAGGACTCTGCTACAAGGAATTTCTAGTGTTTCCAAATAAAAGTACAAAAACATAACTTACTAAAAGAACACACGTGCCAAATTGTGCTACTGTTATCAGTTTTCTGAACGCTGTTTATAAAAATTTTCACATCTAATTAGCAATTATTTATCACTTAATACTGCAACTTAGACTGAAATTCGATAAAACACATAGTAAGATAATATTAATCAGCATTCAATTACTTAAAACCAATAAAGATAACCGAAGGTTACAGAACTACGTCACGTTTTACAATATTTGAAAGGTTGACATATTTAAATCAGTTGTTGATAATAACATTATGAACTATAATTTATCTTTCGACTATGAGCTTATGTCGCCGATGTCTCAAAGTAATTCGCTACTATCCTGAGTTTTCGATGTTCTGAAACCCTAACCTAAACATCTATTGAATTATTATTTGGTGTAAAAGATGTTTCCCACTACACGCCACGTATGCGCTTGGGTGAGAGGAAGCATAGCTCCTACTAATTCTTAACCTCGTCACTAGATGGGGGGGGGGGGGGGGTTGGGGGGGGGGGGGGTGAGCTTCAAGCCCCGGTCTCGCTTTACCCCGGGAAATGAACCGAGTACCCAACGGACAAGAGGCTCGATATGATATATGGACGGAAAGTATTCCGAAAATGGTAGTAAGACGTATGATTCCACTTCAGTTCCCTAAAAAAATAATTATAACACGTTGCCTGTAAATTTGTTTTACACCAAAACGAATTATATGGCCCATTACAATTTATTAATACAAATCATTAAAGGACAGGTTTTACCGTTTCAAAATACACACATTGAAGAAATCTATCTTATGGGTT